AAAAAAAAAACTGAACTGAAAATTATTCAATAGGCAGCTTGAGAAGACTTAAATCAAGTATTATAATGAAATGTCAGATACCTGGAATTAGAAAACCAAAAGGGAAGTACCTGCTCAGCATTTCTCCAGCTGAAAGAGCTAAAGAAAAAAATTGAAGCCTTGAGTTATAATATTGTGTAAAATAGTAAATGATGCAGAAAAACCTTTTTTAAAAAATGGAATATACAATGCTATTAACCCTCACTTCCCCTCCTCCTCCCCCCCCCCCACCCCGCCAAATATGTTCGATGTGCAACCTTTTCACATGATCAAGAACTGAAGATTCTGATGGAAGAAGTCCCAAGATTCTACTGAAGGCTTTCAAGGAGCAAAAAGACTCCAGTAATTATGAACTGATTGCTAGAGATCCGTATTTGTGCCCATTCCAAAGAGAGGTAACCCAATACAATGCACTAATCATTGAACAATACCATTCATATCACAAATAATTACATTTTCACTGACTATAATTCAGAAATGGCTGTAAACTGTCAGCAATTTAAGACAGATTCAGAAAAGGACATAGAACTAAGGGATATCACTACTTTCAAATGGATCCTGGCTGAATGCAAGGAATAATAGAAAGATATTTACTTGTGCTTTATTGATTATTCAAAGGCTTTCAACTGTTTGAACTATACCCAAACATGAATAACATTGAGAAGAATGGGTATTCCAGAATACTTAATACAAATAGTTGTTAGAACATAAAAAGGATATACTGAATGGTTTAAAATCAAGGAAGGTTTGTGCCAGGCTTGTATCCTTTCAGAATACTTATTTAGTCTGTATACTAAGCATATAATCCAAGAAGGTGTCTTATATTAAGAAGAAAGTAGCCTCAGGATTGGAGGAAGACTCATTTAAGTGTTTGGAATATGTAGTTGATAAAACCTTTCTTGCTGAAAGCAAAGAGGATGTAAAATACTTACTGATATAGAGCAAAGACTACAGCCTTCAGTATAGATTGAATTTCAAATGTAATAAGCGAAGATTCTTACAGCTGGACCAATAAATAAGTTCATGATACCTGGAGGGAAAAAAAAATGAAGTTGTCAGTGATGTCATATTGGTGTGGCGCTGTGGGTCAATACGCCAGACTGCAAAGCCATTTGAAGTGCAAGGTCGGCAGTTCAAGCTCACCAGCTGCTCCTCGGAAACCCTATACTGGGTTGCTATGGGTCGGAATTGACTCTAAGGCACTTAACAGCAGCAGCTATCAACCCTCAGTGGAAGCAGCAGTCATGAAATCCAACAAGGTATTGCAATAGGCAAATATGCTTTACAAGATCTCTTTAAAGTGTTAAAGGGCAAAGATGTCAGTTTGAGATCTAAGGTGCACTTGACCCAACCCATGGTATTTTCAGTTGCCTCATATGCATTTCAAAGTTGGACAATGAATTTGAAAAACACAGAAAAATCAATGTATTTGAATTACGATGTTGGAGAAGAATATTAGCAGCACCATGTACTACCAGGAGAACAAACAAATCTGTGTTGGAAGAAGTACAGCCAGGTTATTTAGAAGCCAGAATGGTGAAACTTTGTCTCAGGCTTCATATATATTATTAGAAGGAACCAGTCCCTGGGGAAGGACATCATGTTTTGTAAAGTTGAGGATCAGCAAAAAGAGGAAGACCCCCAATGAGATAGATTGGCACAGTGGTAGCAGCAGTGGGCTCAAAGGACCAGGTAATAATATATCATTCTGGTGTGCTTAGCATTGCTATTAGTTAGAACTGACTCAATGGCACCTAAGAACAACTTAGTAACAACTGCATGCTGGAAAAAAGTAACCCTTTTTCTAGTTCGTCTTTCAAAGTTGAAAGATATGAGTACGACCAGTGTCGCTGGATGTTTAATTTTCAAACATGGTTTAATAACACAGAACCAAATTCTCAACTAAGAAAGTTATGAATATTCCTTGCCCCCCTACATTTCCAGTATACCTATAGTAAACACACATATATCCACCACACAATTTCTGCAGTCTGCACTTTACAACAGGTGTGTTATTACGTATTATCAATATACTTATCCTTTTTTCTACTACATGAGTCCTTTTTTTTTTTTAAATGTGTTTAGAGTACATTTTAGGTATCAGTATACTTCACTCCTAAACATTTCAGTGGGCATTTCATTAACTAGATATCAGTATTTGTTGTCTTCTTTTGAAATAAAGTGTACATATAGTGAGTCCAAGGAGCTCTGGTAGCGTAGTGGTTATGAATCAGGCTGCTAACCTCAAGGTCAGCAGTTCGAAACTACCAGTGGTTCCACAGGCGAAAGAAGAGGCGGTCTGCGTCGGAAACCCTGTGTAGGGTCACTATGAGTCGGAACCGACTCCACAGTACTTAACAACAGCAACATAGTGAAGTCCTGGTGTGGCGCTGTGGGATAAAGCACTGGACCCCAAGGTCAGTTTGAACCACAAGGTTGGTGGTACAAACTCACCAGCCACTCCTTTGAAACCCTCTCAGGGTCGTTATGAGTCAGATCTAGACAACACTTAACAACAGCAACAATAGTGAAATAACACACATCTCTACAGTTCAATACATTTTGAAAAATGAATATATATTCCTAATCATGCCATCTGTGATAAGATAGTACAAATAGTATCATTGTCTCAGATAAATTCCCTCATGTCCCTTGTTAATTAGTCCACACTTTTACTCCTACCCCACATAGGTAATCATTGTTCTAATTTTTTCCCCTGCGTGGATCAGAGTATTCTAGACTTCACATAAAACTAGAGTATTTTAAGAACGTGGCATCACAATTAGAGAAAACTCTTTGACAACATAGGATACAACCTTGCTTGTAGAAAATGAAGATAATTTGAATCACTTGTCATGAAGGTCAAAAGCCATACCTTCCAGTATGGATTACACGTAGATTCAAAGTAAGTCAAAAATCTCTAAAACTTGACTAACAGACATCTTGGTAAATGGAGAAAAATTTGAAGTCCAATATTTCATTCCATTTGGCTCAATAATTAATGTCCGTGGAAACAGCAAACAAGAAATTAAGGGACATATTGCATTGGGAAACCCTATCCCTAAAGACCTCTTTAAAATTTTCCAAAGAAAACCACTTTGATGACTGTGGTTTGCCTGACCTAAGCCAGGGTCTTTTCAGTTAGTCATATGCATGAGAAATGTATGGACAATGATAAATGAACAAAAATTGAAACATTCAAATTATGGTGTAGGCATAGACTTGATACCTTCCACTGCCAGAGCAATGAACAAGATCAATCATAGAAGAAATATAATTAGAATGTTCCTTCAAAGTGAAGATTATGAGACTTTGGCTCCCTTACTATGGATCTGTCATAAGGAAAAACCAATTGTAAGAAATGCACAAGGGTGAGTAAAAAACTATCCACATTCCTGTTATATTTAAATGCCCATCCTCGGCTGATGACGACATTGTGTGTGTACATGAAATAATTCTGTCAAATAGGTGAGTAACAGTGGATTATGTGGAAAATTATTTGCAAATCAGCCATGGCTCTACCTATGAAACAACCCATGACAGACTTGGGTCTTAAAAAGTTTATGTGAAACGGCTACTAAAACAATTCAGAGAAGAGCATTAACAGAAGTGCTTGGATACTGGAACGCAAAATTTGGACCAATATGCAAAGGAACGTAAAAGCTTATTTCAAAAAGTCATTGCAGGTAACGACATGCATTGATCACTACAAGCCTGAGAGTTAATGGCACAGTATGGCATGGAAATATCCTTCAAGGGCTAACCAAGAAAATGTTCAAAATCAACCGTCATCTGGAATATTGATGCTTACAGTTCTCTGGGATTCTCAAGGGCCAGTATTAGAACACTGTCAGCAAAACGTTCAACAAACAGTAGTGCTCATTACATTGAGATGCTCACTGGAGAGTGGAAGCCTGAACTTGGGATTGAACACAGAGGACTGGGTCCAAGGGTGTTGTGATCTTGCATGACAATGCATGTCCCTACACCTCTATCCACACTGTTGACACACTGCAAAAACCTGTACTTTGAGGTGTTAAAGCATCCTCCCTATGATTCTGATTTCTCCATCAGAATTCCACCTGTATAATATCCTAAAAGCAACCCTTTGAGAACACGCAGTCACCTGTGATTAAGTGAAGACAGTAGTGCATTCATGACTTGCTCAGCCTAAAAAAATTTTTAATAAGGGAATATGAAGATTTGTTGACAAATGGACAAAGTGGATTGAAAATCAAGGAGACTATGTTGAAAAATTAGGTGTTTGTCTTTTCTGAAGGTTGATTAAAATCTAAAACCAGAGTGTGGATAATTTTTTACTCTTCTCATAAATTTTTGGTTCTATTGCCTTTGGCATCTTTTACATTTTTTGAAAGTAGAAGGACACCAAAAGCAATGCAAACCCTCGAGATGGATTGACACAATTGCCACAACAGTGGACTCGAACACACCAAGGATCATGAAGATGGTGTATTTTGTTCAGTTACACAGAAGGTTGTCATGAGTCATAGCCGGCTCTATAGCAGCTAATAACAACAGCATGGAAATGAAAATTTATTAATAGTTACTAGCGGTAGCAGAGTCCTTGTATGGCCCTATAGCACAAGCACTCGACCACAAGGTCAATATGAACCACTTCTTGGAAACCCTTCATAGGGTCACTATGAGTTAGAATCGACTCAGTGTCACTCAACAACAATAGATGGGAGGTTGAGAAGAGTCTTAAGGGACACTGAATTTCTTTCAATGGTAGTAGAATAATTTGAAAATAGATATTGTACAACATGATAAGCAAAACCAGTATCACTGAATTGTACATGTAAAAAATGTTGAATTTGAAAATGTCTTATGTGTATTTTTACCACATACTATTTGAGAATATAAAGTTATATTTTTTGTAGCTAAGATAAGGAATTTAAAATTTTTTTTGTTTCGGTCCATTTTCTTCCTCCTTCTTTTAGATTGTATAATGAAGAAATCAGAAGAGTCCGAATCACAATTGGAGCCTGAAATTAAGAGGAAAGTACAACAGAAACGTCATTGTAGCACTTACCAGTGTACGTCCCCTCTGTCTCCTGCTTCCAAAAAATGTTTAACGCATTTAGAGGTAGGTTGTAAAATTATTTTTTGATTGCCAGTCAGGTGTATTAATTATTGTTATTTTTACTTTATTATTATTATTATTTTACTTTATTGTTATTTTTATTTTATTATTACATTCTCAGGATTCTCTGCCATCAAGTCGATTCCGAATCAGAAACCCCATGGAGGGTTTACAAGACTGTAAATCTTTATGAAGGAGCTCTGGTAGCGTAGTGATTACTAATCGGGCTGCGAACCACAAGGTCAGCAGTTCGAAACTACCAGCTGTTCCACGAAAGAAACATGAGGTGGTCTGCTCCCATAAAGATTTACAGCCTTATAAACCCTGTATAGGGTTGCTATGAGTCGAAACTGACTCCACGGCACACAGCCAAATTTTTAGAAGAGCAGAAAGCCTCTTCTTTTTCCTACGGAGTAGCTAGTTGAGTATAACTGCTGACTTTGTCGTTAGCAGCCCAGTGCATAACCCACAACATTCTAGGCAACTTTTGATCTTAGGACTTAAAGAGATCTGTTTTTATTAAGTGCTGTTGAGTTGGTTTGGACTCAATAGCGACCCTGTATAGGCTTAAAAGGAGCACCTGGTGACTTTGAACTACCAACTTTGCAGTTAGCATTCTAGTGCTTATCCCACAGTACCCCAGAAGAGACCTAGAGAGGTGTTACTTAGGAAGGATTTCTGCTTTTAAATGTGACATTTTTTTTCACCGACCTAAAACTTGTTGTTAAATGTGTTCTAGTTGGTTCCAATTCATAGCAACCCTATATGGGCTTCCGAGGAGCAACTGGTGGATTTGAACCCCCGACCTTATGGTTCAAGCAGACCTTGTGGTCCTATAAATTATCTCACAACGCCACGCCAGGACTCCTGTAACTTATAGACAAATAGAGCAAACAAATGCACACATAGTGGTGGGTGACAGGAGGAAAAGAGGAGAGAGGAAGCAAAAAGGAAAGCAATAAGGAGATAGGAAGGACAATAAAGTAAATGTGGAAAACTGGAGGTAGCCTTTACCTTTTATAAAACTTTTTTTAATGTTTTATTGTGAATTAAGTGATCGTTTACATGGGAGAACATTAGCTTTACATTCCTCCCATTATATATTGTTTCATTGGTTACAATCCCCTGCATGCATTATCAACTAACCAAAGGGTATACCCCGCAAGCCTTCCCCCTGGTTGTCGGCACAAACAGCCCCTCTCCCTCTCTGGGTCTAGAGTCCCCAGCCATTCCATCTCTCCACGTCATCATCTCTGCCTCTATCTCTGGCATCACTGCTTCTCTGGGTAAGGTCCCAAAGTCCATTCTTATCCCTTGATGGTCCCAGGGACCTCCTTTCCCGCACTGCAAAGTCAACCACTCCCCTCCTCTTGCTACAAAAGGTCTACCTTTACATTTCCAACCCTCACAGTCAGTCCTGATAGCAATGATTCACTATTGTGCCACATGAGTGCCATCCCCATCTCCTTTTATCAGCCCCACTCAGACAGATTGGATATAACTCAGTGGAGAGAGTCTACCTTCTTTCCTCCATGCACCCTGGATCTAGACCACCTCTTGAAAGCTTGTAAGCCAGTCACTTCTTGCCTTTGTAGCCCCCCATTTTCGGTAGCCAACGTCCAAGTTGTCCATCCCTGTTTACCCTGTGTATCAAGGGGGTGGGAATGATCCTCGCTGTAAACATTGGTTCCCTCTTTTAAACTACTACATCCATAGGTGTAGGTCAAGTTCATCAGATTATATCAGATTACTCTTTTTGTCCCTTTTCTTGTAATTGAGTTTTGATCATCCAGCTCTTGAAGCCAGGTCTTCTTGAAGCAGAGGGTATTATCTGCAGGTGTGGGTATTCTTGTGTATATGCCCTCATTTCTTATCAGCTGGATGCTTCACTCTCCACTCTAGTCCTCTGTGGCTGTCACTGACTCTGGGCCTAAGAGCCCCTCAGTCATGTCACACTGCTGGCCAACCAGGTCTCCACCCAGGTTCACAGGAGTCTATTCAACATGGTAGGGCTTAGCTTGCTGCTTCATTGATGTTCACTTCCCTTTATTGATGACCAATGTGATCACTAGTCAGAGTGCATGTCTGCTTGTGTATTCCCATTGAGCCTTAGTCTTGGAAGGGGAATTGCCCTGAAGGAGGGGTCACAACCACTTGCCTTGATGTCTGCTGGGCACGCAACTTGCTTGTTCTTGTAGTAGTCAGTCGGACTGCTGTTATTGTTTGGTATTTTTCCTGTTGGTCTTTCTTTCAAGAAATATCTTCTGTTGTTCTAGCCGTTCCAGGCTGGTCTGCTTGTCCTTTCAAATGGAAGTTTCCCACCTCAGAAGGTTCTGGATGTGGTTCAGGATTCCACCTATGGTCTTATGTAATACAGAGGCTCCCCTGGAAGCCTCCTTCACTGGGCAGGTTGTAGCCCCATTTTAGGTACTCTAGTTATAGGCAGAAGACAGACTACAAGCTTTCTATGGTGATATTCCTGCTATTCCTTTCTCTGCCCCAAAAATTTTTTAAAAACTTAAAATTTCATTGAATGTCTGGTTAAGAACAGTTATTTGGAGTGCATTTCATTAAGGTACTACATTCTACTTAGAAAATAACACATATTCTGTATTTGAAAATAAAACAACGTGTAATTTTCTGAAAAGAATGTAGTGCCTTCCTGAAACACACTCCAAATTCTTTTTAACCATTCATTGAAGTTTTAATTATTATTATTTTTTTTACGTTTTAAAAACAGTAGAACGGCTACATACATCTTCTCTCCATATTCCCCAGTTTCTCACATTACCTTATCCTTCCTGTTTCCTCAGTCCTTCCTTTTTGCTTCATCTCTTCTCTTTTTCCCCTGTCACCCACTGCTATGTGTGTATCTGTTTGTTTAAAGACATTGTCTATTGTAATTACAATAAAACTCTTAAAATTAAAGAGGGGAGTAAACACTGATCTAATCTTGCCATATGACCAACAAATTCCATTCTAATTTTACCTAAATAATGTCCTTTATAAGATTCAACCCAAGCTGACCTTACCTTTACCATGATTTTTTAAGTCTATTTCAATCTGTAATAGTTCCTTATACTTCTTTTATCTCTTATAATGTTGAGTTTTGTATAGTATAGTGTCCACATACTTTATAGACTACTCCTCAAGTTGGAGCTGTTTCTTCATGATTTGTACAAATGTACATGATAAGTTCATTTTCAAGAATAATCTCATTACCTCATATCAAGAGGCATGTTGTTGTTAGGTGCCATCAAATTGGTTCCATCTCATAGTGACCCTGTGCACAGCAGACCAAACACTGATCTGTTTCATCCTCACAATTGTTATGTTTGCACCCATTGTTGCTGTGACTATGTGATAACATTGGGGGTCTTCCTCCTCTTCGCTCACCCTGCATTTTACCAAGCTTGATACGCTTCTCCAGTGATTGATCCCTCCTGAAAATATGTCTAAAGAATGAGATGCGTAGTCTAGCCATCCTGTCTTCTAAGGAGCATCTGGCTATACTTCTTCCAAGACAAATGTATTTGTTTGTTCTTCTGCCAGTCCATGGTACTTTCAGTTTTCTTCACTAACACCAGATTTCAAATGTATCAGTTCTTCTACAGTCTTCCTTATTTAGACTGCCAACCATTTGATTTTAAGTTGAGTGCTTTACTGTTATACTACCAGGACTCATTAAACACAGATAAAATAATATGCATGTTTATTAAAAGTATACTGTTGATCAGAACTATGTATTCTTGGGGTGCTTGAGTGGTATACACTGTTAACATGATGGGCGGCTAACTGAATTACTGGAAATATGAGTTTACCAGAAGCACCTTGGAAGACATGCCTACTGATCTATTTCTGAAAAATCAACCATTGAAAATTCTGTGGAGCACATTTCTATTCTGACACACAAGGTGGGGTCGCCATGAGTTAGCATCAGCTCATAACTGTTTTGTGTGCTGATACAAATAAGTGTTTGACATAAAAAGTAAGATTATTAAAATACATCTTTTAATTAGAGGCAATGACTGAATTTTTAAATTTATATTTTTTCTAGTTTCTTCCTATGTCCAGGATAAATGTTTATTAACTCAGAGTTTAACATCTGTTCATATTTTCAGTTCTTTTACATATAGCTGCTGAAGAGCTTTGTTCTCATAAATAATTATGAAATTATTTTCGTCCTATGAAGGACGAAACTTTTATTATATTGTTAAATTGTAATACTTTGAATTCTTTCCAAGTTATATGCCAAAAATCACAAGGTATAGTAGAATCAAAAACTTTTTTTAATGACCTCTCAACTGTAACCTAGATTGTTGTTGTTGTTAACTGCCTTTGAGTCAGTTCCAACTCATAGTGACCCTGTATAGAGTTTGTGAAGTTTTTAAAATATTTTCGGGAACAGAAAGTTTAATCTTTCTCCCAAGGAGCAGCTAGCAGGCTTGAAGTGCGTACCTTGTGTTTCACAGTCCAGTGCTTATCTTATGAAGCCATCTAGCTCCCGTAACCTAGACTAGGCCTTCTTTAAAATATTTTTGAAGTAATAACTTAGAAATCAACTTTTTTTTTTTTTAAACATTTTTATTAACTAGCCCTTTGAATCAGTTATTTTCCCCCCGAATATTTAGTATTATTAGTGTTTGGTTTAGAAGTTTTACACTTCATGATCGTACAATATTGCATGATTTCAAGTGAAATACAGATAATTTTTTCTTTGTTTTTTTTTAAATATGGGAAATAATAATTGTGGCAAAAGATTATTTGATATTAGAAGCATTTCCAAATCAGTTTTTTGTAAGATTATGAAAATTAAGCATCTAGGTTTTCTTTCGCTTAAGGTTTTGAATGCCCTAATCCAACACACCTTGGGTTCCTGGTGTGTTGATGTAGGAAGAGCACTGAACTGCTAAAATCACAAGATTGGCATTTCAGTCGCTATGAGTGTCATCAAGTTGGTGACACTTAGCTCCAGCTACAACATGTATCAAACATGTACACAGGTCAATTTGAAAACTGTTGGTCATGATACTCTTGAAAATGCTTTCCAGCATTTCCAGCATTTGTATATCAAATTCTAAATAACATGACTTATTCAGAGTTTCCTGGTAATTGTAGTAATAATGGAAAGAGACTGATTTAATACTGAGACTTTTGTTTATTTTCAAAATACTGAAATAAAATAGCAAAGTCTTTTGTGTTTTTTTTTAACTTTAAGGTATCTGAACAGCGTGAATATTGTCCAAAATGTGGAAAAGAAAAGGAAAATCAGACCAAATGTCAAAGTTGTGGTATTAATTTTTCTAAGGATTTGCAAAGAAATTGCAGACAAGCTATAACTTTGAATGAGTCCACTGGATCATTATTAAGGACGTCAATTCATCAGAATTCTGGAGGACAGAAGTCACAAAACACAGGATTAACAATCAAGAAATTTTATGGCAATAGTATGGGAAAGGTTCCTATTGATATTATTGTGAATTGTGAAGATAGTAGACAAAATTATTTACCGAATAATGGGAAAGTCATTTTACATGGGGCAAAAATAACCAAAATTGCGAACTTGAAAGAAAGGAAAACAAGTCTATCAGACCTCAATGATCCAAGTAAGTATTTTAATGCCTTTAGTATTTCATATGTCGGCTTCAGTATCTTTTCAAATGAGCGTAAACATGGTTGAGGAATATTTTTTAAAAGAAGTCATTGTGTAACTATTGCATAGCATTTTTGATAGATGTATATTCAAGTCTCTGTACGTGTTACTGGAGTATAATTGACTTTATTCTGTTCATCTTAAATAGTAAAAAAGCACTGACTTTGCCTTCAGTCTTAGGTTAAGTCCCAGTTACGTTGTTTTTACTATGGCCAAGTTCATATAACATCCCTCTTCTATTAAATATTTCTTGTTTTATAGTGTTTTTTTGGAGTCCTGGTGTGATGTTGTAGGATAAACCCGTGACTGCTAACCACAAGGTCAGCAGTGTAAATTCACCAGAAGCTCCTTTTGAAACCCTATACAAGGTCATGAGTCAGAACTGACTCAATGACACTCAACAACAGCATAGTATTTTTGAGGGGAATAAATAACATATAAAGTGACTGGCATAACCTAATGAAATGGAGACATAGGAAGTACTCAGTTAAAATTTGTCCTTTTATCACCCTGTTTCTCTCCCTTAAATCTTAATTGGACATATACATGTATACTGAATGCAACCCTGTTTATAGTAAATAGTAAAAGATTAGAAACAATCAAAGACTGAAAAGCCTAAAACATAAAAAAGCCTTAATTAAAGATATACCAAAAAGTAAATTAAAATAAAAGTTGCCTGAAAGGGAAGAAAATAATGTTGATGATACTATTACTTCTCTGAATATACCTTTTTTTTTTTAAACAGATTTGGCTTTCTAACTATACAAATGTTTAATAATTATAAAATAAAATTAATGAATTTTAATAAGGCAAAAAGAACTAAACAAAAAAAAAGAAACAAATTAATCGAATTATGTATATAGTTGGTTACTTTAACATGCAGAGTTATTTCAGATGAATTTAAATTAAAATAATATTGTGGTTGTACATACCTTTTATTGTTGTTAAGTGCTATCCAGTCAGTTCCAGCTCATAACAACCCTGTATAGGGTTTCTACAGAGCAGCTGATGGATTTGAACTGCTGACCTTTTGGGTTTGCAGTCCAGTGCCGATTCTACAGCACCATACCAGGAGTCCTGATATTTCAATGTCAAACAGAACTGAAAAGAAATCAATATTCAGTAATATTAATAATAATGTTATTATTAAACACTTGCATATTGATAAGGCAAGTATTTGTCATTAAGAACCAATTATTTCACCAGCCTGGAGTGGCTAGAAGAACAGAAGATACTTCTTGAAAGAAAGACCTACAGGAAAAATACAAAACAATAGAGGCAGATGGACTGTTACTACAAGAACAAACGAATTGCTTGCCCAGGAAACATCAAGGCAAATGGTCAGGTCCCCTTAATGCAAACCCCCTTCCAAGACTAAGACTCAACGGAAATACGCGCCCTGATTGGTGACCACACGCATCGCCGATAGGGGGAAATGGGGTAAAAGCAGCAATGAAGCGGCAAGCTAAGCCCTACAATGTTCGGTGGGCTTCTGTGGACCCAGATGGGGACCTGGTTGGCCAGCAGTGTGGGGAAACCTGGGGACTCCTGGGCCCAGAGTCAGCGGCGTGGCCACAGAGGACTAGAGTGGAGAGTGAAGCTGCCAGCTGATAGAAAGAGAGGGCATACGCACAAGAACACCCACACTTGCAGATGGTACCCACGTAACCTGGCCCTGATGAATGGATGATCAGAACTCAACCAGGAGAAGTAAGAAGAGGAAAAAAAAAAAAAAAGAGTGATCTGAGACAATTTGATGAACTTGATCTGCGTCCATGGATGCAGTAACCCAAAAGAGGGAACAAACCCTCACAGCAAGAAACATTCCCACCCCTTCCACACACAGATTAGACAGAGATGGGCATCTTGGACATAGGATACCCAAATTGGGGCGGGGATGGGGAACCACAAAGGCAAGAAGTAACTGGCTTAGAAGCTTTCAAGAGGGAACCTAGAGCTAGGGAGCATGGAGGAAGGCAAAATCTCCAGTGAGTACTATCCAATCTGTCTAGGCGGAGCTGATGAAATGAAATACAGATGGGTAACTAGTGATACTGTAGTGAATAATGGTTATCAGGACTGCTTATGAGGATTGGAAATGTAAAGGTAGATGTTTTGTAGCAAGGAAGGGAGTGATTAACTCTCCAGTCTAGGAGCGGAGGTCTCTGGGACCATCAGCGGAGAAGAGCCGAAAGCGGGACCCTACCCAGAGAAGCAGCAAGCCCTGAGATGAAGGCAGAGACGATGACGTGGAGTGATAAAGCGGCTGGGGACTTTGGATCCAGAGAGGGAGAGGGACTGGGTCCTGAAGAATGGAGGGGGCGGGTTTATAGGGTATACCCTTTGATCAGGTTGATGATGCATGGAGAGGATTGGAACCATGGCAATGAAACGATACACGATGGAGTGAATGTAAAACTAAAGTTCTCTCATGTAAAATACCATATAATTCACAATAAAACATGAAAGAAAAAAAAAGAATAAAAACCATTTGTGGAGGGCCATGTGGCACGTCTGCCCGTGTCTATGGGGCTTAGCGCCCGATTTTGCAAAATCGAATAAAGAAAACCTCACTCTGGCTTAAAAACAAACAAACAATTATTTCAGTGCTAGAGAAAATAAAATCATAAAATCAAAGTAAAAATCTTACAACTTTTACATTTGAATTAATAGTGTGAATTATAATAAATGTTATCTTCAATATAAAATTCCTTAGCTGTAATCACACAAAATGCCTAGAAATAATAGCCCAAGTATAGAAATGAATAGTCTTATTTTTCATGTATTTTAAATACTGCTTTCTTGTAAAAATTACCAAAGCATGAAATATACAAGATACACTTAAAGCACCTCTTCATATCTGGAAGCATGGAAACAATCTAAAATTACTGTGACATGTCAAATAGATACAGCAGTTAAAAATAAAAGAAATTTAAGGTGGCTAAAATAAGGACTAGATTAGGCACCAAAAGAATCATAACTGCTATGGATGAAAATACCATATATATTAAAATGATTTAGTTTATAATAATACACCCATCTCTTCATTGGCTCCTTTGTAGGTTACTTTAGCGTCCAAACAAATCTGAAAGCTGAAAGGGGGGGAATTTTGTTTAAACCTTATAAGTATAGATCAAGTTTCATTTTCATTTAGTTCAAAAAGAGCTCAATAAGGATGTTAAGACAGTCAGTTCATCATGATGACACTTGACAAATATTCTGTAATACTTCTTGGTAGTTATATAATGCTAAATTAAGTTTTAGTAATATGGTAAGACGTAAAGAGAAGTCTCATTAGGTATTCATTGGGTATTATCACTGTTATTGTAGCTTTATGTAGAAAACAAGATTGCGATAAGTTTCTAGAATGAGAGGAACTTGAAGTTGATCAGCCTATATTTAAAATTTTTTAATTAGTACTATGTTTGATATAGATAATATGTGAAAACAAATTCATATTGTTCTATGGTGCTAAAAGCAATTTACTATTCAGAGCTTAACCTTGTATCTTATCTATGTGTATTTTGAATTACATTGAGCACAACCTTCTTTTATTTTAATATACTAACATGAAAGCTACTTAGTAAGAATCCTAGGGTCTTTTAAGTACAGAAGTTTAAATGCACTGACACACTATGAAAATAATTATAGAACTTAGACTTATAATTCATATTTCTAAGTGATTTCATAAACAAGATCACTGTTAAGGGCTTTACTTATGATATGCCTTGTGTCAGATACTGCTAAGTATTTTATTTATATTCACTCATTTAATCTTTGAAAAAATTCTGAGAACTAGGTAGCTTTAATTCTAATATTTCAGAGAGGAAACAGGCAAATAATCAAGTAAGTGGCAAAGTCTTGTCCCAACATTCAAATGTATGGATTTCTGCTTAGACCTTCTAATCTGGCCTGTTAGGTTTTTCTCTTATTGAAAGACCTGTTCTAGAAAAAAAAAAAAATAACTAAAATTAGCATTTGTTTTTCAGACTGGATAATTAATAAAAAATGATAGGCCCATTAAATAACTATTCATCAAACATTTATGCGTTGGATACAAAAAAAGAAACACGTTACATTCTTCAATAGATAATTTTTAAGTGATTATTCTGTGTCAGACACAATTTTGAACTCTGAGGATATGGTATCTGTGGAACAGAATAAATGGGTATTATACCTGGAGCATAGAGTAGTGTTGTTAAGTGCTGTCAAATCAGCTCCAACTCACAGGGACTCTTTATAGGGTTTTTGAAGAGTCAGTGGGTGGGCTTGAACTGCCAACCTTCTTTTGGCAAGCTTGCTGTCAGTGCTTATCTTACAGCTTGACACCAGGACTCCAAAGAGAGTAGTTGTTGTTGTTAAGTGCTGTCAAGTTGATTCCGACCCATAGCGAACCCTGTATAGGGTTTCCAAGGAGCAACTGGTGAACTTGAACCACCAACCTTGCAGTTCAAACAACTTTACAGTCTGATGCGTTAGCCCACAGTGCCACACCACTTACATAGGTTTTATAAACAAGAGTAAGAAATTAAGACCCCCAATGAGATGGGTTGGCACTATGGCAGCAGTAATGGGCTTCAAAGCAGTAACAATTGTGAAGTTGACTGAGGACCTGTCAACTGTTGTGTATAAGGTTGCTATATGTCGGAACTGAGTCAATGGCATATAACAACAACAAAGCATTGTGGTCACCCTGAGGAGTTAAGATTTAGAAATGAGTATGATAAGATTTAGAAATGGGTATGATAAGATTCAAGGAGCTCTGGCAGTGTAGTGGTTACCGAACCGCAAGGTCATCAGTTCAAAACTACCAGCTGTTCCACAGGAGAAAGATAAGACTTTCTACTCCCGTAAAGATTTACAGCCTTGGAAACCCTGTGCAGGGTTGCTATGAGTCGGAACCGACTCCACAGCACATAACAACAACAGCATGATAAGATTCAGAGATCTGGGGTGGTACAAATGATTAATAAATTTAACTCTGAACTGTTAGAGGTTCAGGTCCACCTACAAGCAACTCAAGAAAAACCTGACAATGTACTTCTGGAAAAAAAATCAACCATCTAAAACACACTTAATGATTTCCATGAGTCAGTTCAACTGTAATGTAAGAAGGCTGAGTAGTGAGTTTAAGGAATAAGCAAATTACCTTCATATGCTGTCATCTTGTTTACATTCATTCACTCAAAAAATACTTATTGAGCATTGATCACAGGTCTAGGTTTTACAAAAATCAATTTTGACTTTAGTTTAATCTAAGAAATAAAATCATCTGATCTTATGGCGTTTCGCACACATTTAAAATAAATACTATTTTGTGAACCATTTGCAAATTATTTTTACACCTTAGACATTAGGACTCTGAAAAACTTGTAGGCCTTCTGATAAATATTCTTGATTCTTGTAGCATGTATATTTTGCTATGTGGATGAGAATATACAATCAATTTCATATTATATGTTGTTAAAAAAAAGCACTACCATGTCTTTAGGATTTTTTTTTTTTTTTTTACTTTTTATTGTGAATTGAGCGAAGTTTTACAGAGTATATCATCAATTTTATGTTAAACTAATCATATACTTTATTTCATCTCAATGTGCTATCACTTAAAAACTTCCTCTGTGTATTTCCTATTTCCACTCCTTTTTTCCCCACCTTCTGAATTTTGTCTTCAGATAACTGCTGCCCTTTTGATCTCAATTGTTGACCATTCTATGGTTTGAGTACCTCATTAGTATTATTGCCCTCCCCATTTACCTATAATTGAGCCACAGAATTCAGTTCCAGCTCTGAAGGGTGACCAAGGGCCATAGTGTCAGGGTTCCACTAGTCCCTATCTGACTAGTAAGTCTGATTTTTTAATGAAATTGAGTTTTGTTGCACATTTTCTACACTCTATCCAGGACCTTCTAATAGGATCCCTTTCAGAGCAGTTGGTAGTGGTAACTGGGCACCATCTAGTTCTTCTGGTCTCAGGATCATTGAGACTAAAGCTCACATGGTCCATTATTCCACTGGATCATTGTTTCCTAGGATCTTCAGTTTCCATCACTCTTCTTCCAGATCAACAGAGACTAACAGTTGCACCTAAGATGGCCACTAATGAATTTTTGAGATCCCAGTTGCTACTCACCAAACATATTCTTTGTGGTATTCCCAGTATGTCTTAACTCTTTCAAATTTAACTTTTTATCAGATGAGAGTAGGTTGTATCTTTGTTTTTTATTAATGTTAAATTTGGAGGAAATCTGAAGTAAAATTGGTGTATTTCCCATTTAGATAATTTGCTTACATTTTTAACTTGACAGAAATGGAGTACTTCCTATAGCATTTACCGTTTTCTTTATAGTCATTTTGTCCAGTGATGATGAGGATGACATTGAAAGAACAAACAGAAGAGAAAGCATATCTCCTCAACCAGCTGATTCAGCATGTTCTTCTCCAGCACCATCCACTGGAAAAGTAGAAGCAGCACTTAATGAAAATACTTGCAGAGTAGAACATGAACTAAGAAGCATTCCAGCAGATTCAGAGTTAAACACAATTACACTACCAAGAAAGGCAAGAATGAAAGACCAGGTACTTTTTACATCTTCATACTTACTGATATTTATTCCAACTAAATCTCCACTATAGGATTTTTTAAAGAGTATTTTGATAGTGTCAATAGGAGAAGGAGATAGATTATGCTTGATTTGATTAGAAAATAATTTAACTATATGGTCGTGGTGATTGCGTGATACTGAGTTAGTTCTGACTCGTAACGAACCACATGTAGGGCTTCTAAGGCTGTAAATCTTTAAGGGAGCTGAAAGTCTCATCTTTCTCCCATGGAACAGCTAGTAGACTTGAGCTGCTGACCTTGTGGTTACCAGCCCAACTCATAACCCACTAGGCTACTAGGGTTCCTTATTAAACTATATGCAATTTCAAATAAATTAAGAATTTAAAACGTAGAAAATTTCTGACAAGATGATGGGCTAGGCAGACTGGTTACAAAGACCCTCTGTAACAAAAATTTAAAGTAATCATTTCAGAAAGAAGAAGCAGTAACAACCATACAGCAAGCTGTAGGAGATTTCTTATATTATTTTAGTAGACAGGGTAGAATCATTTTAACAAGGTTAGAAACTTGGACAATATTTTACTTTTGTTATATTTCATTATACTTTGGGTATATCTTACTATAGAAACATTTCAAAGTGTTCATGGAAAAGAGAACAAACTGTCAGTAGCTTTAGACATATTTGCAATTTAGATGACATATGATACCAAGATGTAGAATGAGGTGTATATTATCTCATTTTTGTAAAAATAATATTTTAAAAAATAAAACTTAAAAAAAATTATATATGCATATATATGTCATGATAATAGTATAGATAAAAATATGGAAATATACATTTTGGTTGTCGAGGTGGGTACCTTAAGTGAGAAATGAAACAAAAAGCAATAAGGATAAAAGAAAAATTATGATTTAATGTTTTTGTAATCTTGGGAAATGCTTTTCTGAACATGAAAGAAGTAGCAAAAAGAATACAGGGAGAAATTATGTATTTGACCACATAAAAATTACAGAATATGTATCAAAATTGGATAGGTAAATACAAATCAAGAGAAATAGTGAACTTGTGACAAAGTGTAAGTTTTTTCAGTCTTTTTAATTTCTTAAAAACCATGAAGTAAAGTCAAACCACACAAAGATATGTAAAGGAAAAGAATGAAGTTTACCAAAAGTAGTAATTAAAGAAGTGAAGATTAAAACAACATAACTTTTTAATTGGCACATTGTTGAAAATTCTAAAAGCATTGTGAATTCTTTTTTCAATAATGTAATTCATCTTTTTCCATAGTGTTTAGAGAATTGGAATGGTGAGTGTATAAATTAGTATAATTTTGCTTTAGGAAATTTGGTGACCATTCTGGATATTTTTCAGAATTTAATTACAAAAATGCTCATTGGAGATAAATGTGATAAAAATAGATGTACTAAGTGGTTATGAATAGGGCTGCAAACCGCAAGGTAAACAGTTCAAAACTACCAGCTGTTCCGCGGGAGAAAGATGAGGCTTTCTACTCCCATAAAGATTTTACAACCTCGGAAACCCTTTACAGGGTCGCTATGAGTCAGAACCGACTCCATGGCACTTAACAACAACAGCATTGTATAACAACTATAAGCTTTTACTTTAATGCTGTTGAAGGAATATCAGTCTTAACTAATAATTATATTTCTTATAGTGGGGTCTTCTTTGCATGTTGTATACACAGTTTGCAGCCTTATTTTTATTAAGTGGAATTTCTTTTCCTTTTCAGTTTGGTAATTCTATTATAAACACACCTTTGAAGCGTCGTAAAGTGATTTCTCAAGAAACTTTAGTTGATCCTATGTCCTTAAGCTGCCAAAGTTCTTTAGACAGTGTCATTGTCGACTGTCGAAGTATTCGAGTAGGAACACTCAGCCAGATATTAAAAGAACCTGTAATTGTAAGTATGTTGTTAAGCTCTTTACTATACCAGTGATAAAGATTAGGTTCCTTTACAAAGGCTAATATACAGTATTTCAAATGTAGAAGTCAAAATACTTAATTGAATATTGAGACTATTTTCAGATTTCAAATTGCATCAAGAGTTTATATGAATAAGAACTCCTCACCATTAAAAAAATCAGTGCATAAAAACTGATTGTAATGTATTGGTCAGAATAGTAACATAGTCATCATAGGAAGATACTGACTTACTCATTGAGTTATGAAACCTTCCATTTTCTTTCCATTTTGTTCTCATGGTAGCTCAGTGCATGAAAGGAGTTGTTTTATGGTGAGATTAGGAGAATTTTAAAACTTCGGTATCTGCAGAAAAATGTATTGCCACAGTAAGATTCCTAACCAAAAACTAGATCTGTTACTGTCAAGTCAATTGCATTTCATAGTGACCTAGAAATGAATATTGGACTAAAATAGCCACCCACGAGGCATTTTGCTTTTAGACTAGTTCAGTGTTTATGATGCCAAAAGTTCTTTAACTCATTTAGTCCATTTTTCTTAACTTCTCATACATGTCTACTTATTGTTCCAACTGTCACCAGTCCAATTCAAGGATTTATTTTCCATTTGAAGTTTTAATGTGATTTCCTTAACCAACTTTCTTAGTCATAATTTTTCTTCTTTCTAGTATATAACTATTCATTGTTCGTAATATAATCTTACTAAAGTACTGCACTGATTCTTTAGCCTTTATTTTATAATGCCTTAGCTGGTGTCCCTGGCTATGTGCTTCTAGCCCTCCTTTCAAACCATATTTTCTCCCAGTATTGTCATTTATACATAAGAAAGTTTTATTATTATTTAAATTTTGACAAATAATAAGGTTATTTTTACTGATAAAACTTCATGGTTCTTGGATATGTAATATGATCTAAAGGAATCACGGGCAAAAAATTTTTATAGATTATTTTATAGGAACAGATGAGTTTCTTCTTTACAGAGGAAAAAAGCTCTTTGGAAGTTAACATATTTTTGTTTTTCATGAAACTTCAGATTCTTATTATTTAAAACTAGGTTTTTAAAGTACTCCTGAAATATAAAACAAATTGTGTATTAACTGTCTTCTCATTATTGTCAGGTAACATTGTAATAAATTTGTCAAGTTTTCCAGGGACTTTCCAGAAACTTGGGTTTTATCACAAACCTTTACATTCAAAAAATCTTTCCTAGTTTCTCAATTAATAAAAATGTCACTTATATCACTTCCGACATCAGAAGTTGACAGGAGCACCTTACAGGTTTTATTGTTTTCCCCCACATTGGTGCTGATTTTCAGAACTCTTTAATATGATAATGAAGGTTTTGCTGGTGATTAAGACACTTAGTTGGAATCCTAGTGTGGTGCTGTGCGTTAATACCTGGGACTGCAAAGTTGGTTTGAACTGCAAGATCGGCAGTTGAGTTCACCAGCCGTTCCCCGAAAACCCTATGCAGAGTTGCTAGGAGTCGAGACTCAAAGGCACTTAACAACAACAACCAAGACACTTAGTTGAAAATTGCCTGTGTAGTCTTAAAGCTATCTATCAAGGAGCTCTGGTAGCGTACTGGTTACAAATCTGACTGCGAACCGCAAGGTCAGCATTTCGAAACTACCAGCTGTTCCGCGGGAGAAAGATGAGGCTTTCTACTCCCGTAAAGATTTGTAGCCTCAGAAACCCTGTACAGGGTTGCTGTGAGTTGGAACCGACTCCACGGCACAACAACAACAATCAAGAATGACATTAAAATTTTATTGATTTTTTTTTTCCCCCCCATGAAAATTACTTGTTAGATTATACATTCTGTCTTAAGTGAAGAAAAACTAATTTTGTAAGTTTATTTGAATAAATAAGAAGCAATATATGTACTGCATAGTAGTCCTGGTGGGATAAAGGACTGGACTGTAAGATCGGTTTGAACCACAAGGTTGGTGATTCAAACTTACCTGCCACTCCTTAGAAACCCTATGTAAGATTGCTATGAGTTGGAATCGATTCAACAACACTTACACCACCAACAGCCATATTACTGCATATATGTATTTATACAGGGTTTTTTGTTTTCTTTTTTAAAATACTAAGTGAAGTATTGTATCTTAAAAAATAATTGTGCTTACAATGTAAAAATGTGCAATGTTGCAAAAATTGATCCCAAACCTTCTCTCCCACAGCACTCTAATCGTTTGCTGAGTATAATTCATTGCAGACACCATTCTCACACTTAGAGGATTTATTAGAGAAGGTGACAGGTTACAATTCAGAAATGTTCACGGCACCGTTCTTTCAGTCAGGACAGCCTCTCCTATGTCTTGCCCATAAGCAGGTCTCTCTCTGTCCCTTGACCCCTTGCCATGGCCTCTGCCCTGCTCTGGCCATGTTACAAAGCTCCTTTCATGCTGCTTAGAAATGCTGTAAGGACACACCACTCCACCACTCCACCACTCCACCACTCCACTAAGCCTCCTCAAAGGCACTTAGGCTCTAGCTCCCCAACTAAGTGCCTACAGGAACTCTGTACTACATACAAGCTGCCTGCCCAAAGGAGACTTGACTTGCTGTATGGTCCAGGAAGTCCACTGCTATCTGGTGCTCTGGCTCTTGGCTCTTATTTTTGCTGCTCCTCTGCTATTTTTCCAGTGTCACAGCTTTCAGCCCCTGGGTCAAAGAAGTTCCTTGTACAGGGATCTCAAGGTCCAAAGGACACACATCACTCCTGGCTCTTCTTTGATGACAGTGAAATTCCCCCTTCCTGTCTCAGTGATGACTAATTTTATGCCTGTGTTAAGAGTTCCAATCACTATAACTCTGTTAACAGACATTCACAATTGAAGCATCTTAGCCTATCAGTATCTTTCTCCTCCTTATTTTACCCAGATCCATTAGGGAAAAAGTTGTTTGGTGGAAGATATTAAGAGTCGAAAACACATAAAATAACTCACTACACCAAAACATTATACTGCTAAACTTCCCTTGTAGTATGATATTTTCCCAGGGAGCATTCTTTGTTGAAGAATAGTGGAACTGTAATTTCTTCAGATGGTATAATTAAAAAGTTAATTTGATGTATGCTTTTTGAATTTCTTTGCCATTATGATGATTACTCTGAAAAACAGATTTTAAATATTTTTCTGTTTTATCAGATTTCCTTCATTTATTATTAGATTGACAAAAATTAATTTAATGATGGAATTGGATAGAATATTAAAATTGAAATGACTTAACATTATTTGAAGTGATTTCACTTCATTTTTCAGTGATAAGATACAAAATCAAAGTTTTTGGCCAACCTAAATTTAGAAACTCTTTAAGAGATAGATATAGGTGAAATAGGTCAAAATCAATTAGTAATATTAATAATTAGCTTAATTATGTGTGCTTTAGATGATATATATAGATATATTTCTTTCTTCTCCTATGTTTCATACAATAATTTTATTAAAATGCCTCCAGATTAGTGTTTAGCTTCTATGTATGTTCAACTATTTTTCAGCCCTAAGTACCCAGTCTTAACCTCTATAGTGAAACCAATTAATGTATTGCTTATAAATGTAAGATTTAAAGGTATTTTTAGTGGCATCCTAAACTTTACCATTGATGTACTTTATATGTTGTTATTTTAGGTGCCGTTGAGTCTATTTTAACTCATAACGATTTTTTATGCAACACAGTGAAACACTGGTTTTATTCCGTCCTCACAAGTGTTGTTACATTTGAACCTATTATTTTTGCCACTGTGTCAATCCATTTCTCTGGGTTCTTCCTCTTTTTTACTGACCCACTGTTTTCATCAAGCATGATGATGTCCTTCTCCCAGTACTGGTTCCACCTGACAATATGTCCAGAGAAATTTATGAGGGGACATAAAGAGTTCATGGAAAGATGGAATTAAAAGTTAATTAAATTTTTCAAAAAAGTTTTTGAAGCCCCCTCAAATTTCCTTTGTTCCTTTTTTTTTTGTACCATGAAAATGCACAAATAGTAGAGTTGAAACATTTGTAGAGTGAATACTCAGACACCAGTTAGACTCCATCGTTAGAATTGTACTGTACACCTGCTTCTCACTTATTGACATGCTTAAGTTCCTAAGACTTGGTTGTTGTACAGAAATGGAGGATGATCACATCAGATCACAAAATGGAGGATCACTGCTTCATTGTGTAACTGCCTAGTTACATGTAAGATAACTGCCAAACTACTGGGAATTGTGACCCAACCAAATTGGTGCATAGTCTTACCCATTGCAGTCAACATTACTCTTTTTTGTTTTGTTTTTTAAAGCTTTTATTGTGTATTGAGTTGAGTGAAGGCTTATAGGACATAGTACAATTTTTACAGTCAGGAAACCATTGCAATGATTTCAATACCCTCCATGCATCCTTAGCCAACAATAATTACCTCGATTACCTTTCTTGGGGAGCTACACATAACACATTGTAAATATATTGGTTGGTTGGTTGGTTGGTTATGTGCCGTGGAGTTGGTTCCAACTCATAGAAACCCTGAACAGGGTTTCCAAGGCTGTAAATCTTTACGGGAGCAGAAAGCCTCATCTTTCTCCCTCGGAACAGCTGATAGTTTTGAACTGCTGACCTTGTGGTTCGTAGCCCAATTCGTAACCACTACGCTGCCAGAGCTCCTTTTGAATGTTGGACAGCATTGCTCTTGTGTTGCTCTCAACCATCTCAGCCAGCATTATTCTTGCCTTGCTCCTCTTTGTTCACTACTGCCAGGTATATGTTGTTAAATCGCAAAATAGTTGGATAGTATATTTTTTTTCCTTTTTGTGTATATAAGATATAATAAGAAAGTTGATAAGTAGGAGCAGGTGTACTTCCTTTTATCGTATCTCCGTGAGCCAGAATCAACTTGACAGCAATGGATATTCATCCCCTTGGTTAGCAATCCATCTTATTTTAAAAATGCATTTCAGAATACTTGGATCCATTTGGATTGTTGTTGTTAAGTTGGTTTCAACTTATAGCCACTCTGTATAGGATTTCCAAGAAGCAGCTGGTAGGTTTGAACTGCTGACCTTATGGTTCCCAGTCCAGTGCTGATCCTACAGTGCCACACCAGGACACCTTTGATTAACTTATGCAAATCCACAAAATAAGTACTGTTGTTGTTGTTAAATGCCGTTGAATTGGTTTCAACGCATAGCTACTCTGTATAAGATTTCTAACGAGCAGCTGGTGAGTTTGAACTGCCGACCTAGCAGTTCAAACCAACCTTGTGGTCCAGTATATAATCCTATAGTGTCAGTCCAGGACATCATTAAAATAATTAGTTAGAAAATTATCATTTTGTAACAGCCAATATTAAATGATTCAGGTAAGTCTCTTCAATAGAGGTTGAAGTAATTGAACTAAAGGTTATTAGGAATAGGACATTGACAAGATTCCAAGCATCTCTCTACAAATTATTTAATTACAAGGAAAAATGTTTTTACTGTGGAAAGATCTGGTAGACATTGCTTTAACCAAATTACTAAACTTGAATTATTAATAGTGGGGCTGTTTGACATGATGTGCCTTCTAATGTGATGTAATTGGAAGTATATATTGCCTATGTGCTATTTTGGCTGAAAATGTATGACCTGAATTAATCATGAGGAAAAAAATCCAGAACATTGTGCATTTTGCACACCCTAGCTTGGCTTCTTAAAATGCCATGTCAGGAAGAACAGAGTGAAGGAATGTTTTTGCTCTAGACTATAATAGACTAAATGAGATAAATGCAAATAAAACCTTGACAAGATAATGGATTAGTTAAAAAATAAAATATAAGGGAAAATTTTGACACATTGAGGAATTTGAATATAAACTGTGTATTGAATGAAGTTAATCTTGATTTTCTTAGATGTGGCAATGATGTAGTTGTAAAAAAGTGAATGTCGTTATTCTTGGGGATATATGCTGAAGGATTTAGGGCATTGTCGTTCTGCCCGTTACCTGCTTAAGTAAAGAAAAAGAGATGGTTGAGTGTGGCAAAATAATAACAATTGCTGACTCTCAGTAAGAAAGAAGTTTTCATTGTAATGTTCTGTCAACTTCTGAATTTTTAAAATGTTTTTGAAGAGATACAGAGATAAGAAACATAATCAATACTTAAGCCTCCTTTTCTGAGTGGTATAAGATGAGAAAATAACTCATCTTCTCCTTAAACCCATGGTAGGTAGCTCTTGTACGGTGTGTGTAGCATAACCTTCAAAACTCTGTGACCAGTACTAATGTATTTTATTTTTTAGTTTTGTTTAGATTTCATCAAGATACAGCTAAAAGGTAAGCTGTTTTGATGTTTTATTCACTAGTTATCCAAAGAACATTATATGAATTAAAGGTAAATTATGTTCAAAGAATTCATTAAGATAATACATATATTTTCTTAACAAATAGTGTTTATCTTAACAGTGTAATTTTTCAAACTCAGTCTGTAGCATCACAAAACCAAACTTGATTTATATTTTATATATATATATATATGTGTGTGTGTGTGTGTGTATGTGTATGTATGTGTGTGGAGTCCTGGTGTGGTGCTGTGGGCTAATTTGTCAGACTGCAAAGTCGTTTGAACTGCAAGCTTGGTGGTTCAAGCTCACCAACTGCTCCTTGGAAATCCTATACAGGGTTGCTATGGGTTGGAACAGACTCAACAGCACTTAACAACAACATATATGTATACACACACACACACATATATATGTATATATACACATACACACATATGCTTATACTTCATTTACAACCTTGTTTTCATATGAGGAGAAATAAAAGTATCTTTGTATAATAAATATCTTACTTTAAACATCTATTTCCTCACAATTTACTCCATCCATGACTTTGCCCTATTTGAACTGATTCCTTTTCCATTTGCCTTTGTTTTCCTTTCGAACCAGAAAGTGATCCTGTAGCGATTACTTTAAATACCTCTGATCTAACTAAATGTGAATGGTGTAACGTTCGAAAATTACCAGTGGTGTTCCTACAGACAGTACCGGAAGTTTATCAGAAGCTGAGCATGCAACTGCAAATGAATAAAGAGGATAAAGAAATAAATAAGTTAACAAGTAAGTTTTATATAGGAGGTATAATTTACTTTAATAATTTGCAAAGTAAATTAAGTAGAGTACATATCATTTATAGCATAGCAGGATGTGAGTGTACTTTGATAGATGTTTTAGTTTTTATTATCATGATAATCCTGAAAACTGCTTTATAGTAGATGCTATTGTCCCCGTTTTACAAATGAGGAAAATTTCATAGAAGTGGCAGGGCTGAAAATAAATTCAGGGTTGCCTACTTAAAAAGTTTTCAAGACTGGAAATCAAATTCAAAAAAGAATTGTACTTTTTTTTATTATATCACATGTAATCTGAGTAAAAAGGAGCTCTGGTAGCGTAGTGGTTACGAATCGGGCTGCAAACCTTAAGGTCAGCGGTTCGAAACTACCAGCTGCTCCACAGGAGAAAGATGAGGCTTTCTACTCCCGTAAAGATTTACACCCTCGGAAACCCTATTACAGGGTCGCTATGGGTCGGAACCGACTCGACGGCACTTAACAACAACAACAACAATCTGAGTAAAAGGAAGATTTTTAATGCAGTATAAAAGTGCTAAATATAAATCATCCACTTTAATAGTGAATCCTGAAAACTTAGCCCTACGGGGAAGATTTCTAGTTCTTAAAACAGATCTGTATCCTCTACAATAAATAGATGTCGTTCTCTAATTTAATTCCCTCTACTTCTAATATTTTTGAATTAGCATGACTAACTCTAATTTGTTATTACTGCTTTCAGTTTAATGATGATTAAATATTAATTACTGGTAAAGCTTTCAAGGAACCCTGGTGGTGTCATGGGTTACAGGTTGGAGCTGCTAACCACAAGGTTAGCCACTTGAAATCCACCAGCTGTTCCAAGGGAGAAAGATAAGGTTTTCTGCAATTGTAAAGATTTACATCCTAAGAAACCCTATACAAGTTCACTAAGTCAGAGCCAACTTGATGGCACACAGTAAGAGTTAGAACATTACTAAATAGCAGGTTTTGCAGTTAAAGTCTCTAGAGATTATAGCAATATGCTAGACAGTTTTCTGTTTGAGATTGACAAAATAGAAACTGATACGTTTTTAAAACTGTAAATAGATTTGGAATCTATTAGATAAAGTAAGTTATATCCATGATTAGGTTTTTCTTAACTAGGCTAATGTGTTCTAGTTCCATTCTCTTAATAAATAAGGAGAGAGAATATTGTGAGTTAACACTGTTCCTGGTCTTTATTCCAGTATTTTTTGTGTATGTACTGTATGCCAAACATGGTTTGGGCTATTTATACCAAGATTTCTGGTAATAAGTTGGATATAACTTAATTGTTACTCTTATTCTAATGGCCATGAGGGTGCTTTAAAAAATTGTTTAAAATGAAATTAAAAGATCATGGCTTTTTTTTTTTTCATGAACTTTTTGAAGTCCCCTCATATTTATTTTGTTTATGTACACTTTTAATATTCCATTTATTTCTTTTCAGATCTGGAAGAACAATATATTATTTTAATTTTTCAAACTGGCCTTGATCTTCAGACAAATATAGTATTTGAAAATATCATTACTGAAATTGGCATAAAGAATAATATTTCCAGTTTTTTTGCAAAAATTCCCTTTGAAGAAGCCAATAGTAGACTTGTTGCCTGTACAAGAACCTATGAAGAAAGCATCAAAGGAAGTTGTGTACAAAAAGAAAACAAAATTAAAAATGTAATTATTTTTTAGCATGTTTATCATTTTAAATAATGGGTAACTTTAAAGGAAAAATGTTTGTATTACTGCTCATTTAATGCTCATGTCTGTTTCAGAATGATTTGCTTTGATATGTGATTTGTGTATTATTTTCTTTCAAAATACACTGGTGTGGCACTGTAGGATAAGCACTGGAGAGCAAGGTGGGTTTGAACTGCAAGCTCGGCAGTTCAAACCCACTAGCTGCTTCTTGGAAACTGTCTTCTGCTGTGAGTCGGAAATGGCTTGATGGCACTTAACAACAATTGACCGATGACACAAGTACAAGGGAACCTCAAAAAATTCATGGAAAATGGAATTAAAAGTATACACCTTTTTTCTTAATATAAGCAACCATCAAAATCAAGATATTTTAGTAAGTAATGATACCAGCCATTTAGTCCATCTGTAAAGAATTCAGGGTCCTGGCAGTTTAGCCTGGTCACTGTAGTGTATCAGTAATGGCGCTGTAGGATAAGCACTGGATGGCAAGGTTGGTTTGAATTGGAAGGTCGACCGTTCAAATCTACCAGCTGCTCCTTGCAAACCCTATAGAGGGTCACTTTGTGTTAGAACCAACTTGAGGGCACGTCACATTGATGAAAGGTATGAGCAGGAGCATTGTCATGGTAGAGAAAAACTCTGATGAAGCTTTCCTGGCCTTTCCTGCTAAAGTTTTAACTAACTTTTTCTAAATACTCTCATAATGCGATACCATCATTCTTTGGTCCTCTAGAAAGTAAACAAGCAAAATAATTTCAACAGCCCCCCAAAATTGTCACCATGGCCTTTGTTTTTGGCCTGTCTGCTTTTGTTTTGATGGGACCACTTCCGTCTCTTGGTAGTCATTGCTTTGATTGTACTTTTAGCTTTAGCATTGTTCTCCTAAAGCCATGTTTAACCTCTTATTAAAACATTTCATCCAAGAAATACTTTAGAATCTTGATTCCACTTGTTTAAAATTTCCATTGAAAGTTTTGCTCTTAACTGCAGTTGATCTGGGCACAACAATTTTGATACCCATTGAGTGAAAAATGTTGCTGATGTATATCCGTTTGTATGTAACATCTTCATACATGTTTGAAAACTTGAAAAATAGAAAATGCTTGTCATTTGATGTTGGTTGTCAACATACTTAAATGATTGAGTACCATTGAGTCAGCTCTGACTCAGTAACCCTACATAGGGTTTCCAAGGAATAGCTGGTGGGTTTGAACTTCTAACCTTGTGGTTTGCAGTCCATTGCTGATCCTACAGCTCCATACCAGGAGTCCAAATTCTAGAATAATTAACTCATATAGCCAATTTCAAAGCCACTTTACTAAAGGCAACATTATTTATTATAACACATGGTATACTCTTAAATAATACAAGTAAATACTCTAAATTTGTCACCCATGACAGCAGCTGATTTTTTCTGGCTTAATATATTATGGACATGTAATCTTTCAACCTTGACTACAGACTTGGAAATATGGTTACACAAGGCACAATCTTGGTAAAGTTGAGCAAGGGTTGACTGGAAAAGAGTCACTCACAGTGTTAGTGGAGTAGGAAGTAAAGAGTAGGTACCCATAGCATTACTGGGCTAGGGAAAGAACAGAGGAGGGAAGGGGGAAGCATTCCATTTACTGAGTTGGCTGTAAGAGATAATGCCAAAGGAAGAAAAAAGGAGGCTATAGCCATAAGGCAGTTGAGATGTACCTAAATGTCAATGAAAGACTCTTCTAAAGATCACTTGTTTAATGTAGTTTTGTGTAGCGCAAAGGAGTCCTTGTTGCACAGTGAATAAAGCAGTCTGCTGTTTACTAACAGATCAGCTATTTGAATTCCCAAATCATCTGGGAGAGAGAAATGTGACAGTCAGCTTCCATAAAGATTTACAATCTTCAAAACCTTGTAGGGTTATGAATTGTCTCAATAACTGTGTGTGTGAGTGTGTGTTGTGTATAGCTAATGCTCATTTGGATTGTGCTCCGTGAACTTATGCCTCTACACTCCTGGAAGTCATGACCATTGGATTTAAGTGAGCTTCCACTGCTGTTTTAAAAATCCACTGTATCTGTTCCTTGAATTTTACTAATCTAATATGATTCCTGGTGTGGTGCTGTAGGATAAGCACTGGACTGCACAGCTGATTAGTGCTGCAAGGTTGGGAGTTCAAACTCAGCAGCCATGACTTGGACCCCTATACTGGGTCTCTATGAGTTGGAAAAGACTGGACAGCATTTAACAGCAATAATAGTAGAGAGCTTAGAAAGACAAGATACCAGAAAACCATTGTTTTGTAAATTAGGAGAATATGAGTGTTCTAGAAACTATTATACGTAAGAAGTGAAATATGGTCCTTGAGTTTTTCCTGTTCCTTATTTTTGAGTGTTAGATATCATACTTACTTTGTGGATGTTGTTGTTGTTGTTAAGTGCCATGGAGTCGGTTCCGACTCACAGTGACCCTGTACAGGATTTCCGAGGCTATAAATCTTTACAGGAGTAGAAAGCCTCATCTTTCTCCCGTGGAAGCGCTGGTAGTTTCGAACTGCTGACCTTGCGGCTCACAGCCCGATTCATAACCACTATGCTACCAGAGCTCCTTTTGTGGATAAATACTTTAAATCCTTTTTAATCGAGAGTCATTCTTGCCTTTGTGACTTACTCTTTATTGAAAAGTTTCCCAACTGGTTTCATGAGTTGGTCATTTAATATCCTTTGCCAGGTGTCCTTTGAATCTAAAATACAACTTCGAAACAAACATGAGTTCCAGTGTTTTGATGATGAGGAAGAAACTATTGAGAGCCATACCATCTTCATTGGTCCTGTAGAAAAGTGAGAGAGAATACCTTTTAATTTTCAATACTCTGAATTTCTTTTTGTTTTATTATATCATATATATATATGCATATATATATATATATTTGTTTGTTGTTGTTTTTTTGTTACAGATTAATAGTATATCCTCCACCCCCAGCTAAGGGAGGCATTTCTGTTACTAATGAGGACCTACATTGTCTAAATGAAGGGGAATTTTTAAATGATGTTATTATAGACTTTTATTTAAAGTAAGTTTATTTTCTACTAACTTCTTATCAGACTCTGTTTATTCTATTACATAGTGTATATATTTTATATCGTTGATTTTTGGAGTCAATCTATTTGTATTTTAAATTCCATTACTACCACTTTTTGCATGATATTTGGAAAGCTGTTTAAATAGTCTATTTGTATGGTTGCATTTTAAAAATAGAAATAATGATAATAGTATATAAAAAAAGGAGTTATGAGAGTTAGAGATGACACATGTCAATTGCTAGGAAAAACGTCTAGCACTTGCAAAGTATTCATAGATGATAACTTCTTGTATTATTGTTAGCAGTGCTTTATGCCTATAAAATTATTATTACTATCCTATATTAGGTAATTTGTTGAGAAACTGTAAAAGTATAGTTTCATTTATTTCCATCAATAAATGTTCATCAGGTGCCAGGTATGTGCCAGATATTGTATTAGTAGAAGTTTATAGGATTAAAGCAATAGTAGAACTGTTACCATGGTGTAGACACAGCAGACTAAAGAATTCTGCATTCTCTTTGAGACTGGGAGTTTATGAGGGAACGGGAACCATTCCTGGAAGAGTTTTTATCACGACATCCAATATACACAAACATATATAGTAATATGTGGTATGTTGTAAATTTGTGTTTCCTGATTTGTAATATAAAGTGGATATGTGTGAAACAAAAAATACTTACCATAGTATATTCAGTACTCTGTAATATTTTCTGTTTTGTTCTTGTGTAATTCTTAAAACAAAAAAGCGGTTGTTGAAACTTAACTACAGTGATTTTAGCCTACTAATGGTTTTAACCCATAATTTGGAAATAAAACAATTTGTAGGGGCTATAACTATAGGCCTTTCAGACATCAAAAGGAGAAGGGAATACCACCAAGAACTCTACTTGTATAAATTTGACAACTTAGATAAAATAGACACAAATTTATCACAATCTACCCAATATGAAATAGATCCTTTAGATAGCTCTACAGTCCTGGTGTGGCGCTGTGGGCTAATGTGCTAGTTTTTTAACTGCAAAATCAGCGGTTCAAACTCATCCGCCTCTTGGAAACCCTATACAGATCGCTGTGGGTAGGAACCGACTCTATGGCACTTAACAACAACAACAGCTATTGAAAAACACTAAACTGCTGCCCATGATGTTGGCAACTCAAACCCATCATCTGCTGTGAGGGTGAAAGATGAGGCCTTCTGCTCCCATAAAAGTTGACAACTTTAGAAACCCAAATACCAGGTAGCTTTGAATCAAAATTGACTTGATGGTAGTGGGTTTGGTTTTTAATTGTGTTGTCCTGTGGGTTCTGACTCATAGCAACCCTGTATAGGACTTCCAAGCAGTGACTGGTGGATTTGAACTACCAGTCTTGTAGTTAGCAGTGAAATGCTTATCCTACAGAGCCACATGAGGTATGACTATTAAGAAAATTGAATTCATAATTAAAAAAACAAAACCTCAAGCCCAGATGGTATCAAAGGGAACTTGCCAAAAATTTAAAGAAGAATTAATACCAGTTCTATACAGTCTCTTCTAGAAGACAGTGTAACACTTCTCAGTTTATTCTATGAAGCGAGTATTACCATGATACAAAAGCCAGGCAAAGACAGTATAAAAAAAGAAAGAAAACTACAAACCAAAATCTCCCCCCTAAGTATGATATAAAAAGTCACTAACAAAATGATAGCATACAGAATTCAGCAGTATGTGAGAATTATACACCATAATTGATTGGGATTTATTCCAGGAATGTAAAACAGCATTTGAAAATTTACCATTATAACCCACTATATTAATAGATAAAAGAAGAAAAGTCATAAAATAATACAAATTTATGTATTAAAATAATTTGACAGAATTCTACACCTATTCATGAGAAAATTCTCAACTTGCTAAATGATATTTACAAAAAATCCTAAAGTAGTGTTGTACTTACTGGTGAAGTACTGAACAACTTCCCCTAAAATTTGGTAACAAGGGAGTTCTGACCATCGTATAAAGTAGTAAAAAAATTTGAGATCGCAAAGGAAGAATTAAAAACTGTCCTTTGATATATTTAGGTTTTCTTATGGCACAGTGAGTAAGCTATTGGACTGCTAACCACTAGGTTGTCCATTCAAACCCACCACCTGCTCCAAGAGAGAAAAAGGAAGCTCTTTTTTTTCCATAAAGATTTACAGTCTTGGAAATTGTACATATAGTCCGTATTAGTCATAATTGACTCGACGGCAGTGGATTTATGATATATTTGTGGATGTCATGGTTGTAGAAAATTCCAAGGAATCTACAAACCCCGAGGTTGGCAGTTCAAATTCACCAACTGCTTTTTGGAAACCGTATACAAGGTCTCTATGAGTCAGAACCAATTCAAAGGCATTTCACAACAACAACATAGATCTAATTAGTGAGTTGAACAAGATACAAAATAAATATGCAAATCAACTATTTCTATATATTAGCACAGACCCTATGAACACCAAAATTAAAAATACATATATTTGCAGTCACTCAAATGTAATGCTTAGGTATAAATCTAAAAAAATATATGTTAAGGTATATGCATGGTTTAAATAGAGAAACATGTATGTTTGTTAACTAGAATACTGAACATAGCAAAGATGTCTTTATTTTTCCTGTTAATGTACAGATTAATGCAGCTCCGTCAAAATTCCAGTAAGATTTTTCTTTTTACAGGGACAAAATTGTTCTAAAATTATTTTTTAAAAAAAGCAAAGGAACTGAAACAGTAGAAACAGTTCTGAGAAAAGAGAAAAAAAAGTAGGGACAAATCAATCTACCAAATTCTGTATGCAAGGAGGCTTTTATATGTTAATGGGAAAATTCCATTTTCCTTTTAATCACATTTTTCCATGAATTTTTTGAAGCCCCTTCATGTGTGTATGCACACACACACTATAGAAGTAGTAGACCTGGTGTGGTGCTGTGGGTTAATAACGCTGGACTGCAAAGTTGGTTTGAACTGCAAAGTCAGCAGTTCAAGCTCTCCAGCTCCTCCTCAGAAACCCTATATAGAGTAGCTATGGGTTGGAACTGACTCAACAGCTCTTAACAACAAGTTCTCTAGGAGTACATTCTTCACAAGTTTTTAAGTCCCATCTATTATTTGGCTGGAAGATGGCCTTTGGGAGTGTTGTCAGTTTCTATTTCCAGTTTTTGGTTATTGTGAGTAATAATACAAACATTGATGTACTACAGGTTTTTGTGTAGGCATGTTTACTTTTGATTTTAGCATCTTATAAGTCATAGTTTTGTTTTCAAATATCTCTTCATTATGCAGGAATAACCTGGTGCTTTTCACTGTCTAAAATGAGAAATAAACGTTTCTGATAACTTCTTTTAGCTGTAAGGAATAGATTGATTGTGGCTAGATAGATCATTGATCAGTGCTCGCCTGACTTCAGTATGAAGTAAACTGCTACATATATTACATTGGAATTATTTTTTGTGAATTAGATATTTGGTGCTTGAAAAACTGAAGAAAGAAGAAGCTGACCGAATTCATATATTCAGTTCCTTTTTCTATAAACGTCTTAATCAAAAAGAAAGGAGAAATCTTCATGAAACAACCAATCTGTCGTAAGTCAAACTCTTGTAAACTAGTACTTAGTAATATTGAGACATCATTTAGTTCTATTAGTTTTAAATGATAGTAATTCATCATATTGTAAAGCCTCAGGAACACTTAGAAATCATAAATTTCTAGACATAATAATGAACAGTGTTTCCTAAATATGCCTGATAGGTTTTTTTAAAATTAAGTACAGATTGCTCTGGTTTTTCCTGGATGTTCTTGTAACTAGAGAAGGATCTTATGAATGTAGACTTCTAGTAAACTTTTGGAATAATTCTTTTCTTGACAAGTTGAGGAAATATTTTAGGTAGTAAGTCTGTGTTATCTTCTTTATAATTTTTCTCCCATATATTGAGTATTCAGCTCTAATACTTTCTGGTGAGTATCCAAAAGGAATGTAAAACATTGGAACATTTTTGTTGTACTGTTAAAAGTCTTGAATTGATGGCTGCTTATACATAAAAGAATACATATAAAAGTATTTCCTGCTATTTCGACAGTTTAATTTGTGTCTTTGTGTTGATGACCTCGTTTCTTCAGTGTGCTCATAGTCTTTTCTTGCTTCATCTACCCTCAGATACCATTCGCTATTCCTGTCCTTTTTTTCTCCCAAATTTATGTAGGCAATGATATGACACACATCTCAACATAGTCTCTGGTATCCATACTAAAATAATGCAAATGATGGCGAGATAAGTCTAGGAAAGATAAACTGTTAGACCCTCTAGGAGGTAGTAGCAGGAATTAAATGCCTTTCTTTCTTCCAAGTCCAATTATGTATAATTTCATGGCCTTTCTTAATTCCATCTCAGATACTCTTAGTTTTCTTTCTCATCCTGGATAAACCATCTTATACAAGTGTTGTTTTCTTGATTCTTCATAATTTATCAATCACTGCATTTAAGCTTAAGCACCAGAGACTTTCAGAAACTTGATAATTCATCTCTTGTCTCACAGAATACAGCAAAAGCGACATGGGAGAGTGAAAACCTGGACCCGACATGTAGATATTTTTGAGAAGGATTTTATTTTTGTACCCCTAAATGAAGCGTAAGTAAGAATTTCCTTCACGTAAATTAATGGCAATTTTCAGAAAATGTGTGTCTGAGAAGACATCATATATTTTTTAACTTTCTGAAAAAATTGGCCATATATATTTATATTTGTACCACCTTAATTTTATGAAAACTAATGTAGCTTTCAAGTGAATCATATATGGTACTGAATTTTAAAATCACTAAACCAGATACCTTTTTAATTTAGTTTTGTTGGTCAACATGGAGTGATGTCACTAAAAAATAAACCGTGGTGCTAGTGGACTAACAAATAGTATATATGAAAGGCGATTTTTATGGCGAACTATCATTTAGAAGAATTTGTATCTTCTTGTTGGTAAGTGTCATCAAGTCAATTTCAACATATAGCCACCCTGTATATGGTTTCCAAGGAGCAAATGGTGTGTTTAAACCACCTAGCTTGCAGTTCAAGCCAACTTTGCAATCCAGTGTATTATCCTGCAACATCATACCAGGACTTCATTTGTATCTTAGTTTTACCAAACAATGCTCTTTTTCTTAACCAAAATGGAAAACCAATGGATGTTTTCAGAAATTTGAAAATTTTGAATCAGCTTTTTTCTACTAAGTTTTGCTATTTTAACAACTTCAAGCAAATTTGTAAGTAAAGGAAGATGCTTAAAAATTATTTCCCTTCAATAGCTAGAAAGTTATTGATGCATTGTTGTTAAGTTCTGTCCAGTCAGTTCCAATTCATACTGACCCTGTATAGGCCTTCCAGGGAGTGAATAGTGGGTTTGAACTGCTAACCTTGTGGTTAGTCTAGTGCTCATCCTATAGTGTCACAGAAGGACTCCATTTGATGTATTAGAGTAGTATTATGTAAGTAATACCTGAGAGTTTCTTTTAGTTCCTTATTTGGTTTTAAGGCAAATCCTACGAGGAACATAAACCTATTGTTAACAACTGGGTTTATTATCTGTTGCTGTGAAGGACAATACACACCATGTATAATCATGAGGTGTCTTTCTTTGTAAGAGAGTATGAGAAAAAATGTACTACAGGATTTGAGTTTTGATTAGGGGTTTTGGGGAGTATCTGAGAAAAGTAATGGTTTGCTCTTGATTGGTTGATATCACAGAGATTCTGTGATTGAGGAAAGAAGTAGCATTTGCTCATTTAACAAAAGAAAGATATTTTGTGTGTTGTACTGTGACCCTGTGTTTGTCTCTGCTTAGACAAATTATGAAGTAGTCCTGCTTTGTATCATTTAATGTAGTCTCAGAGTAATCTTATGTGAGGTTAGTTTGCTATGAAATTATATGTAAAAAACCCAGCTGTAATTGGCTGGCTAGCTTCTGAAAGTGCTTTTTTTTTTTAATTAACCTGTATGTTGTTGAGTTGCTTCCAACTCAAGAGCGGCTGTTGAGTTTGAACTGCTAACCTTGCAGTTCAAACCAACCTTGCAGTCCAGTGGCCATCCTACAACGCCACACCAGGACTCCAGTATAGTCCTATATAGTATGTTGTTGTTAAGTGCCGTCGAGTTGGTTCTGACTCATAGTGAACTTGTATAGGGTTTTCGAGGAACAACTGGTGGTTTTGAACTGCTGACCTTGAAGTTCGCAGTTCAGTGCTCATCCTACAGCGCTACAACAGGAGTTCGTTCCATAGTATAGTCTAATTCTATTTATTTAAAATTATGCTTTAGTTATTAGACCTGTGCTCCATTATTAGCTCAGTCAAAGGTGGGTAGTCTAAAACAAAATGCTGATTACCTAAAGCACAATTTCTTCAAAGCTGTGTATTTCTTAAAACTAAACATATTATCCTAATACAGGTTAAAGCTAAATTTAAATAAAACTAATTGCTTTCTTCATTTTCCCCAAATTAAGATAACATTTCTTGACTGTAATATGGTATAAAGTAACATAGAGGCAGAGCTGCTTACTAGAATGAAAGGAAAGATAAACAAAGAAATCCATTTATAAGAAATTAAGTATAAAAAATTTTGAAAAGAATGTAATTTGGGTTTACACACTTCAGTCAGAGAAACACATCCCTCTTAAATCACTCTATCTGATGTGAATGAAAGCTACTATTGTTGATGCTGTCTTATAGCTTGGTGAGATTTAGAGAATGGACAAAGATACAAGGCTAAAACAGCATTTTTCTAAAGGATTTTGCCATGATAGGTGGAAAACTAGCCTCTAGATTAATGGACTGTGTTGTTTTGTTTTCCATTTTGTTTGTTTGTTGTTCAGAGGTAGATCCACAAATGTTTATATTTCATAGTTGTATTAAGATGATGTTAACTGCCATTCAGTTAGCCCCCAACTCATTGAAACTAAATAGTAGGTTCTCATGTGTTTGTCATCTATAATTTATTTTTGTATTTTCTTGGTGGTACTGATTATCCCTACACTTTAAAAGTATATAAGATGTTTGTTGAAAATTGTCACAGTAATTTACAAAGAGTAGAAATGTCATATTTGGATCAGGTCTATCTTGTTGAAATAAGTCAAATTGCATGCATGCTTAGTTACTTCTTCATTGATTATTTAAAGCCAGTGCGGTTACTAAAAGGGGTTGGAAGTGACCTCAAGATTATCTGATTCGGCCTTTTCTTTTTCAGCCAAAGAACTGGTTTTTCCTACTTTATAGGTGAGATAATAGAAAAGTTATGACTTAATCCATCTTGTGACATAACTAAAAATGTTAAAACCAGTGGTAGATAAGTTGAGTCACTGGAGAATTCATTAAATGAGCTAGTATGGTTTCCTTTCTACAACTCTAGCCTGATCTGAGTCCATAGGATTAATAATTTAGAACTGGTGAAACATTTATTTATCTGTTCTGTACATTGTTATTGTTAGGTGCTGTTGAATCGGTTCTAACTCGTAGCCACACAATAGAATGAAACACTGCTTGGTTCTGCGCCATCCTCACAATTGTTATGTTTGAACCTGTTTTTGCTGCCACTGTATCAGTCACCTCATTTGGGGGCATTCCTCTTTTTCGCTGACCCTCCACTTTTCCAAGTATTTTATGTTCTTCTCCAGTGACTGATCCCTCCTGACAGTATGTCCAAAGAATGAATGAGAGATGTAACCTCTGCATCCTTCTAAGGAGCATTCAGGCTGTATTTCTTCAAAAACAACACCATAATTCAAATATGTCAATTCATCTTAGGTCTTCGTTATTCATTGTTCAACGTGCACATGCACATGAGGAGATTGAAAATACTATGACTTAGGTTAAGTACACCTTAGTTTTTAAGCCAATGTCTTGAACATTTTAGAAAGGTCTTTTGCAGCTAATTTGCCTAATGCAGTATGTTGTTTGAGTTTTTGACTACTGCTTCCATGAAAGTTGACTGAAGTAAAATGTAGCCTTTGATAGTTTCAATCTTTTCTCTGTTTATCATTATTTTCAATGTACATACTGAGAATAAAATCAGTCTGTGTGAACTTTCTGCTGTGGGAAAGAAGAGATAGTGTTTCTTAGTACTCTTGGATTGGTTTAACATTATGTAAAACTCAGAATGTGGATTAACTTTTGTTCTTGTCATACTATTCATTTTGGATTCAGCAAATATTTATTAATACCTACTATATGACAAATAGGAGTCCTGATGTGGTGCTGTGGGCTAATGCGTCAGATTGCAAAGTCATTTGAACTGTGAGGTCGGTGGCTCAAGCTAACCAACTGCTCCTTGGAAACCTTATACAGGGTCGCTATGGGTCAAAATCGACTCGATGGCACTTAGCAAAAATTAATATGACAAATAAGGAGCCCTGGTAATGTAGTGGCTTATGAGGTAGGCTGATAACTGCAAGATCAGCAGTTCAAATCTACCAGTCACTCCATGGGAGAAAGATGAAGTGTTCTGTTGCTGTTAGATCTATAGCTTTGGAAAACCCTATACAAGATCCCTGGCTCAGTGACTCACCACCACCACCATATGGCGTATATTGTGCTGTAGTTGTTAAGTGCTGACTAATCACTTCCGACTCATACTGACCCTGTATAGGATTTCTGAGGAGTGGCTAATGAGTTTGAACCGCCAATCTTGCAATTCAAACTAATCTTTCGGTCCAGTGCTTATCCTACAGTGCCACATAAGGCCTTGGTAATTGTGCTGTGTTAGTAAGTTCTCTAGGAGTCCTTGTATGTTGCTGTAGGATAAGTACTGGACATCGTTGTTATTGTTGTTGTTGTTGTTATGTGCCGTGGAGTCGGTTCCGATTCATAAGGACCCTGAACAGGGTTTCTGAGGCTATAAATCTTTACAGGAGCAGAAAGCTTCATCTTTCTCCTGCAGAGCAGCTGGTAGTTTTGAACTGCTGACCTTGTGGTTCGCAGCCTGATTTGTAACCACTACACTGCCAGAGCTCCTTGTTGTTATTGTTAGGTGGTGTTTGATCTGTTCTAACTCATAAGTAAGGTTGGGATTTTGAACCCACCAGCCACTGCTTGAAAACCCTATATAGGGTCACTGTGAGTCAGAACTTACTCAATGGCACTTAACAACAACAACAGTAAGTTCTCTGAAGTTCCCTGATGATGCTTTAGGGATAAACACTGGACTGCTAATTCACAGGTTGACGGTTCAAACTCATCTGTCACTCCCCAGGAGAAAGATGAGGCTGTTTCCATAAAAATTCACATTCTTGGAAACTCTATGTATGGTTGCTGTGAGTCCTAATTGACTTGATGGCAGTGGGTTTTGAGGGCAAGCTCTCTGACTTCTGTAGCCTTTTTATTATATTCCCAGCAATAACATTGTGCCTAGCAAATAATAGACTATTACTAGAATTATTGGTGTGATTAATGATTATTACCCCAGACCATTCAGTTTCTCATTTGTGGACCTGCTCTCTACTTTTGAGAACTTGATACCTGTTGTTTGTTGTTACGTCCATTGAGTCAGTTCTGACTGTTGTTGTTGTTAAGTGCCGTCGAGTCGGTTCCGACCCATAGCGACCCTGAACAGGGTTTCCGAGGCTGTAAATCTTTACGGGAGTAGAAAGCCTCATCTTTCTCCTGCGGCGCAGCTGGTAATTTCGAACTGCTGACCTTGCGGTTCACATCCCAGTTCGTAACCACTATGCTACCAGAGCTCCTTGTTGTTGTTATGTGCCATGGAGTCAGTTCCGACTCATATCGACCCTGTACAGGGTTTCCGAGGCTGTAAATCTTTACGGGTGTAGAAAGCCTCATCTTTCTCCTGCGGCGCAGCTGGTAATTTCGAACTGCTGACCTTGCGGTTTGCATCCCAGTTCGTAACCACTATGCTACCAGAGCTCCTTGTTGTTGTTATGTGCCATGGAGTCAGTTCCGACTCATATCGACCCTGTACAGGGTTTCCGAGGCTGTAAATCTTTATGGGACCAGAAAGCCTCATCTTTGTTCCCGTGGAACAGCTGGTAGTTTCGAACTGCTGACCTTGCTAACCAGAGCTCCTTAGCAACCCTTTATTAAATTTCCAAGGAGTGGCTAATAGGTTGAACCGTTGACCTTGTGTTTAGCAGTCCAGTGCCTATTCTAAAGCGTTGCACTAAGACTCCTAGATTCAGCTGTATCATGAGTTCCTACTTGCTAGGAACTCTGGTAGCATAGTGGGTTATGAATTTATAACAGTCGCTCACCAGGAAAACGATGAGGCTTTCTGCTTCCATAAAGATTTACAGCTTCAGAAACCCTTCACAGGGTCACGATGAGTCAGAATTGACATGATGGCACTTAACAACAACAACAGCCCAGTATTTGTCATATGATGGTGGTAATGTGCCACTGAGTCATTCCAACTCACAATGATCCAGGGTCCCAGGGCTGCCTACATTATACAACACATACAGAATGCTTAGAAAATGCTGAAAAGTATGCAATCTATATAGATTTCTGAAAGCATTTTGATATTGAGGCTAGTTAGCTTTCTGTCATTCTGATACAAAGAAGACATAGGGTGAATGGGAATGATGAATTGTAAAGTATTACACTAAGGAGTCCTGGTAGGGTAGTGAAGTATGAAATGTACTCCTAACCAGATGGTCAGCAATTAGAATCTACCAGTCACTCCAAGGGAGAAATGTGAGGCTTTCTGCTCACATAAAGATTTCTAGCTTAGGAAACCCTATACAGGATCATTATGAGTCATAAATGATACACAGCCACCACTACCACCACCTTATATATATTGAATTAAATTGCCTGAAAAAAAAAGTTCAGTTTATTACTTATAAAAGTGAACTCAATCTATATAATTCTAGCAAAAATTCTAACACAAAAATGTGTTTAAATAGGCATTATATTCTGTTAATGGATCTCAGTGATCATATATGTACACTGCATTCATTTGAGAATGGAAATATTGGACATTAATAAATTAATTTGCAAAAGCTTTAGAAAAAAACATCTAATTTGATATTTATTGTACAAAATATTATAAACTTATATTCAGTAGTTTCATTTATTTTTTACAGTGCACACTGGTTTTTGGCTGTTGTTTGTTTTCCTGGTTTGGAAAAACCAAAATATGAATCTAATCCTCATTACCATGAAAATATAGTCATACAAAAACATTCAACTCTAGAGGACAGTTGTATCTCTTCTCATTCAGCAAATGAAATGGACAGTTGTTCTTCACAAAACTCTTCTACCAAGCCAGTAATTAAGAAGATGCTAAATAGAAAGAACTGCATAACTGTTGTGGATTCAAATGTTGTACAGGAAGAAACTGATCCTCATTATCGGAGAAACATAAACAATGTGAAATGTAGTTTGAAAAAAATAAATCATACTACAAATGAAAATGAAGAATCAAATAAAGGAGAATTTGCTTGCCAGAAAGTTGTTGATAGGACTAAAAGTGAGAATGGTCTACAGAATGAATGTTTAAGTTCTATACACCATACAGGTATGTATCTAAATGTTTTGAAAAAATGAGGAAATTCAGATTTAATTTTTATTAATGGGATTAGAATTCCGGGGTGTACTTTTTTTTTTCTTAGTCATGTTCACTGACGTATAATTTTACATACAAAAATTTTTTACTAATTTTAGAATTATTGTTCAATGAGCTTTGATAAATATATATAGTCACATAGTCACCACTGCCATAGGCAATATTGTCAAGATTTACAACCGTTTCATCCCAAAACTATTCTTTTTCTTTCCCTTGAAGTTGGTTATGTCCCTTCACCCCCACAGAGTTCATTTTATTCAGACTTAAACTTTGCAGTATTAGAATTTGTGTTTATTTTTATTTAATAGAAAGTGTGCTCTATTCAGCATAAATAAGTGTTGTATAATCCTAGAGCTATAAAGAAAGTTAATTAAAACGCCTCAGTTTACAGGTGGCAAAGTGAGATACATTGCAGTGAGATACATTGCAGTTAAAATGACAGGTCAGATTTACATATGAGTGTTAGAGTTTAATTTTTTGGAAATTGTATATACTTAATACCTTCATTAATCAGAATACTTAAGTATAGATTCTTGTTTATTTTAACCTTTCTTAGCTAAAATATATTCCAGATTTATTCATCGATCCTTACTTATATCATTACATAATATCATTTGTGTAGAAAGTTTAAGGAACCTTGACAATGTAGTGGGTTATACATAGGGCAAGTAACTGCAAGGCCAGCGGTTCAAATCTCCCAGTGGTATTGTGGAAGAAAGATGAGGCTTTCTCCTGTAAAGATTTGTAGCTTCAGAAAACCTATATAGGGTCACTATGGGTCAGAACCAACTCGACGACACACTACCATGTAGAAAGTTTGGCAGATTCACAGCTGAAATGTCTTTCTTTGGACTGGTAGGGGTTTAATTGTTGTTGTTATATTGATTTTTTGTTTTTAATTTCAGTGCCTTTAGGTGAGTCCTTACCATTACTTATCATATTGTACTGCCCATGTTTATGCAATTCGGTTAAGTTTTAACTGCTCCCAAAGAATGCCTTGAATATTGCTTTTGGGGGGAAAAAAAGAGATCTTTGATAAGAATATTGCTTTCTTATACTTTACCAGTTTCTGTTTGAAAAGCAAGTCCTGGGAAGTTGTGGTTAATGGAGTTTGTAACCAAGTTTGATTTCTGTGAAATTACCTTTTAAGTGATTTAAAAATATATAAATTGTATACAGTAGTTCTTAGTTTTTTGTTTTTTTTTCCTACTTTGCTTGATTTTGAATGAAAACTTAAATTTTAAAATTGAAATGCTTTACTGAAAATATATATGGTGCTTACGGATTATTCCGTGTGGTTTTTTTGTCTATAAAGTCCAGATTATAAATTTTTTCTTTATATTTAAATGTTAATGGGATCAGCTAGCTAGAAACTGATTAAAAAGGTTTTTCTTTGTGTATAAGGCAGTAAAATGTTTCTGAACTTTAGAACTAAATTATATTTTAATAACTGGACTCATGATAATAAAAAGGAGAGTGACGGTTCTTTAAGAAACAAATCACATTTAGAAAATATAAATTAAGAGAAGGAGAGATACTGTGGAATAGAGAAGCTAGAGGAAGAATAAAGGATTGATGACACCAAGAAGCAAATTAACTAATTTGTATACCACCACTTACTTTAAAACAATATGTGATAGTTAGTCAGATAGCTGTTGTTTAGCTCTTGTATGAATATTTTCATATGTTTGACATACTGAGCCAACAAAAGGCACAAATTGTTGATCACACTGCCTTTTGGTATAAATTAAGAGGCAGAAGAGGGAAATTGACCAATATCATAGCCACACAAAAAAAAGTATATCAAAACTCAAGTGGATAAATATTTCTTTTCTAGGGGAAGGAAATAGGGTGAACATAAGCATACTAAGTAACTATCAAGTTGTTCTTGTTCTAGTTAGGTGCCATCGAGACAGTTCCCTCTTAGTGGTCCTGTGCAGTCCTCACAGCTGTTGTCATATTGTTGATGCTACTATGTCAATCCATCTCATTGAAGGTCTTCCTCTTTTTCACTGATGCCCACTTTAGCAGTAGTGTCCTTCTCTAGGAACTGATCCCTTCTGATAGTATGTCCAAAGAACGAGAGACAAAGTTTCATCAGCCATGCTCTGAGGAGCATTCTGTCTGTTCGTTGTTCTGGCAGTTCATGGTCTACTCAATAGTCTTCAACAACAGCATAGTTCAAATGTATCAATTCTTCTGTGATTTTCCTCATTCGTTGTCTAATTTTCACATCCTTTGAGGCTATTGAAAATACCATTACTTGAGTCAGGTCCATCTTAGTCCTTAAAGTGACATCTTTGCTCCTTGATGAGGTCTTTGCGTCAGATTTCATTTCTTTTTTTGTGGATTGGGTTGTTAGGAATAAAAGGTTAGGGCTAGATCTATGGCTAGGTCTGGGCAAGGACTAGGACTTCATTTAGTGTTAGGGTGATAGTTAGGACTAGAGTTAATATTAGGGCGAGGCATTGAGTTAGGGCTAGAAGTAGGGCTTGGTTTAGTTTTAACGTTACAGTTAGATTTTTTTTTTTTAATTTTCTTGAAATCTGCTTGATTTCCCCTTCTTTTGGAAGTTGTCTAACTCCAGTATTCCCTTTTTTACTTTGTTTTGTTATTGTTGTAAACTGGTATCTGTGGCTCCCTATTTTCAGTCATGTAGGTTGAGTTCTGGATGACATATTATTTACGTTAGTCTCAGGTTGTTGGCTGCTGTGGTTGGTTCCATCTATAAATCTCCCTTTAATATTTTTTGCAAGGTTCATATTGCTGTTTATCTGTAAATGTCCTGGTTTCACTATCATATAAAGCGGATAATTTTGCTGGGCGTATGATTCTTGGTTGGCAATTTTTTTCCTTGCAGAATTTTTAGTGTATCATCCCATTGTCACCTTGTCTGCATGATTTCTGCTGAGAAACCAGAGCTGTGTTTTATTAGTTTTCCTTTGTAGGTAACTTTTTGTTTTTCCTGAGCTGCTCTCAGGATTATTTCCTTGTCTTTGGTTTTGAAATTTTTGCTTACAATGTGTCTTGGTTTTCTGTGGGGCTCATCCCATTTGAAGTTCTTTAAACTTCTAGAATGGCTGTCTTCTCATCTTTCATGATGTTAGAAAAGTTTTCTTCCAGCAACTCTTGGATAGTTTTCTCTTCCTGTTTGGAATTTCAGTCACATAAGTTATTCCTCTTGATTTTTTTAAGTTGCCATTGAATCTATATAAGGTTTCCAAGGAGCAGCTGGTAGCTTTCAACTGCCAACCTTGTGGTTCACAGTCTAGTTCTGATCTTACAGCACCACATCAGAATTCCTCTTGATAGTATCCCACATATATATATCTTAGCCTTATCTTCGGGTTTTGTCTTTTTTCTTATCTTTGGATTTGTTTTTTCTGATTGTTCCTCTCAAAGATGAGTATTGAGGGATTTGTTTTCAAGCTCACTAATTCAACTTTCCATTAATTCCATTTTACTTCTATGCCCTTTTAATGCATTGTCTATTTCTGATGGCTTAGTATTAATCTGACTTTCTAATTGCTGGTTTTGTATGATTTCCAGTTTTTCATTTATTTTGCCTATTATTTTCTTGAATTCTTTCTTGCTTTCAATGATCTTTTTGTCAATTTGTTGAACGTACCTGAATAGCATTTTTTAAAATTCTTTCTCAAGTAGTTCTAATTGCATTTCTGATACTACATTTTCTGAATCTGTATTTTGCTCACTTGTTTGAGGCACTGTGTATTGTTTATTTCTATAAGCTGAAATTTTCTGTTTCCTCTGAGACATTGTGGTGTATGTTGGTATGTTCTCAGGCACTCACTACCCTTCTTCTGGTAGATGTGATAGAGACTGGAAGTCTGAATAGTTATCAGTTCATTGTTTAAGTAGTATAGTCCAGGGCAGACTCACATGTCTCCAGAGGGGATTCCACTGGCAACTGCATTGGTGATATTGGGACAGCCTCTCCCCAAATACTGGGAGAACAAGGGAGGACTGCACCCCACTTTGTCTCCCATCTGCAGGTTGTTATATTGGCTGCTTGCAAAAGCTCAAGATGGCCGAGCCACTCCTGTGAAGTTTCCTCTTTTAATCAGTACTCAGTCCACCTCTTTGTCCTATCTTCTGAAGCTCAGTGTCCTGTCCCTGGACCACTATCTGTACATATTTTACTTGTTCTTCCATGTCTATGTTGCAGAGGGTCTGCTCAATGGTCTGCCTACATCTCCGTTTTGCCCCAGCTCCTGAGTCATTTGATTTTCTTGACTGCTGTTTCCATGAATGTTGATTGTGGATCCAAGCAAAATGAAGTCTTTGAAAATTTCCATCTTTTGTTCATTTATCATGATATTTATTGTTACAATTTTGAGGATCTTTTATTATTATTATTGTTATTATTTACATTGAGGTACAATCCACACTGAAGGCTGTAATTTTTTATTTTTATCAGTCCTGTAACTCTTCTTCGCTTCCAGCAAGTAAGGTGTGATCTACACATCTGCTTGAGAAATATTGAGCTTGTTCGTCCCTTTCAGTTTTCTAATTCCAGGTCTTTGTTCTATTCATCATAATACTTTAATTTGTCTTCTTGTGTAAATCTTTGACATTTTCTGTTCAGCTCTTTTGCGTCTTCACTTCTTCCATCCACTTTAGCATCCTTACACTGGAAAACAAGTTTCAGAATCTCTTCTAACATCTATTTTGGTCTTTTTCCTTTCTTTTGTATGACACTGATATGATGTTCTTGATGTCAACTCTTCTGGTCTTCAGTCACTAGTGTCTAATGCATCAAATGTTTCTAAGATGACTCTAAATTCTGGTGGAATGTACTCAAAGTCAAATTTTGACTCTCGTGGACTTGATTTAATTTTCTTCTATGAGCAAGTCATAGTCTGTTCCACTTTTGGTCCCTCGTACATTTCATGTTCCTATTATTAATAGATATTTACAACTGTTTTGCCTCATTTTGAGTTGAGCCCCATCAGCATCTGAAGGTTCCAAGGACTTCATTTATATCATTATGTTGTTGTTGTTGTTAAGTGTCGTCGAGTCGTTTCTGACCCATAGCGAACCCTGTGCAGGGTTTGCGAGGCAGTAAATCTTTTCGGGAGCAGAACGCCCACGGAGCAGCTGGTAGTTTCGAACTGCTGGCCTTAAGGTTCGCAGCCTGATTCGTAACCACTACTTATACTCAGTTCTAATTTGAGGAGGCAGCTCTTCCCCAGTCATATTTTGAATGTCTTCCAACATGAGCTCGTCTTCTAGCACTGTAAGTGACAATGTTCCACTTCTATTCATAGGTTTTCAGTGACTAAACATTCAGAAGTAGTCTGTCTCTCCTTCCTAGTTTGTCTTAGTCAGGAAGCTCAGTGAAACGTGTCCACCATGGGTGACCCTGCTGGTTATAAAATACTGGGACATATTTTCCAGCACTACAGCAACATGCAAGTCACCACAGTATGAGAAAACTGACAGATAAATGGTGGTATGATCTATTATTATCTCAGAAATTGAGTTCTGGGGTAGTAGTGGGTTCAGTGGTAGAATTCTGATTTTTCATGCAAAAACCAGGGTATATAAAAAAACTAGTATATTTATCTTTTATTAAAAAAAACTTTATTGTGAATTAAGTGGAGGTTTTACAAAGCAGATCATCAGTTTCACATTCAACAGATCATACATTTTGTTTCATTTCAATGTTTATAATCCACTGTGGCATGTAAGTCCTGGTGTGGTGCTGTAGGATGAAGCCCTGGATATAGTAAGGTCAACATAAACCACAAGGTTGGTGGTTCAAACCCACCAGCCACTTCTTGGAAACCCTATACTAGGTCGCTGTGAGTTGGAACTGACTCGATGGCAGTTAGCATACACAGACACATGTAACAAAAGTTATCCCACTTCCTCCCTGTGGTTCTTATTCCCATTCCATCCTCTTTCCTAAACTTTCTGAACTTTGTCCTTTGGTAAATGTTGCCCTTTGATCTTGAATGTTGACCATTCCATGGTGAGCATACCTTACTAATGTTGATGTCCTGCCTATATACCTGTCTGCTGCTTGACTGAAAAAATTGGGTCACAAGGGTGAGTCCAGTTCCAGATCTGAAGAATGACTAAGGGTCTAGCTAGTATATTTCATACACAACAACTGCTTATCAATCAGTGGAAGTTTGCATAGTACTATGATGCTGAACAGATTTTAGCTAGCTTCCATACTAAGATGGGGTGGAAGATAGGCCTAATGATCTACTTCCAAAAACCTGATGAAAACCCTATGGTTCACAGTGGTCCAATCCACAGTATGATGCAGGATTGGGCAGTATTTTGTTTTGGTTTTTTTTGTATGGAGTGGCCATGAGTCAGGGGCGACAGCTATTAGAAACCTACAGAGGTTCTGTTTGGTCGGAGAAGAACATAAAATGATACACATTAAACAGTTTTAACATAATTTAAACTATCAAACACATTGTCACAGTGTTTACTACTATTGTAAATAAACCCATAGAGGTTTTAAGGTCAACTATAGGAAAATATGTGGTATCATTACAAGAAGCTTTCTGGAACTTACACTTAGAAAATGACTGACATAAGTATCACTTTTTTTTTCCCACTCCATGGCATTATTTTTCTCCCTTTAGAAAAGCATATCATTTAGTTTATATAAATTAGATATTCATATGACACACAACTTGTATAGATAGGAATGATTTGCTGTTAGGATAACTTTATTGTTATATACTGATTAATTACCTTGGGATCTGGACAAATTTTATTCAAATACAGATATATTTGAATACAAAGTACTTAGATTCTTTAAATGGTTCTTTGGAATGTAACCATTTCACCTTTTTAATATGAATATACTTTTGTGCTATCAGTATTACATTTTTTAAATGTACTGATAAGTCTATGAATATAGATAATACAGGAAGGAAATAGTATTCAGAATTGGCAGAACTTGTCCATAACTACCATTGTAATACAATAATGCTTTTCATTTTTATATTTTTCTTTTTTTATTCAAAGCAAGCCTGTTTTAGTTCATATTTTTATCCTTGTAATTAAAAAGCTATACAGTATTTCATTTCATGTTGCTCCGTATTCCCATTATTGAATATTTCTGTTATTTTTAGGCTAACATAACTTTCATTATTCACTGAAAATATCTGGCATACCTAGCCAAAAAAAAACAAAAAAAACTATATACATACATGTATGTGTTTAATTATTATATATATATATATCTTTAATCATATAATTGTTAGTTGTTAAGTGCTGTCAAGTTGGTTCCAAATCATAGCAACTCTATATAGGGTTTCCAAAGAGCAGCTGGGTTTGAACTGCTGACCTTGTGATTAGCAGCACCCCCTAGGGTTTTTTCTTTTACTAATAAATTAAAAATCTCGAGTATAGAAACATGTCAGTAATTGGTATGTGCTTCTATGGTTTTATTGCAAATAATTCATTTTATATATGCGATAATATGTGCTAAAACAAATTTTGTATTCTTAATTGCTGTGTCATTAATAGCATTAATGTCTATGTGCTTTATGACAAATACATAGCTTTTATTATGTAATGCTTTCTATTATTAATACAGATGGCTTAAGCAAAATCAGACTAAACTATAGTGATGAATCATCTGAAGGTGGTAAAGTTCATGAAGATGAGCTTATTGACTTCTCAGAAGATCAGGATAACCAGGTGAGGGCAAAAGCATAGTAAAAAGTTCTGATGTCTTATCTAACTGGAAATTTTCTGTGAAGTTCCTATAGTCAGTTCCTTCAAGCAAAATGTATCATTCCACTTGAATTTGGGTTTCATTCCAAAACACAGATTTAGTGTCCAGGTCAGAAGTTACCAGGATTGTATGAGTGATTTTTGTTTTTTGTTTGCCACTGTTGTTACTGTTGTTAAGTGCTGTCAGGTCGGTATCAACTCATAGCAGCCCTGCATAAGGTTTCCAAGAGCAACGGTGGAATTTGAACTGTCGACCTTGTGACTTAAAGTCCAGTGCTGATCATACAGTCGCACACCAAGAGTATTTTTTACCGCTGTAGACTGAACTAATATTACCCACTTCAGAAAGCTTTAATATAAAATTAATTCTCCCATCCCACCCACTATCACCTTTTTTCTCCCTCTTTCAAAACATTTAAGGCTTTTAGTTAACCTTTAGTATATCATTTAAGAGGCAATCATTTCACTTTTCATTGTATGAAATAAATGTACAACAAAATTATTATTTGTATTTTTTTTTCTATTTACTGTTTATGTATTATAATAACTGTTGTTGTTGTTGTTGATAAGTACTATGGAGTCGGCTCCGACTCAGTGACCCTGCACAGCAGCCATGTTTCCGAGGCTGTAAATCTTTATGGAAGTAGAAAGTCTCATCTTTCTCCCACAGAATAGCTGATAGTTTCAAACTGCTGACCTTGAGATTAGCAGCCCAATCATAATCACTACACTACCAGAGCTCCTTATAATAACTATAGTTAGTATTAAAATTAACATAGGTCAATTCCAGTTGTAATACTGTATTAAACACTACTAGCACCAAGAATATATTTGAAAATATCTAAAGAGTGTTCTGTATTTTCAGAGAAGCTTATATTTCTATACAGTATACCATAAGCTATTCTTTGTGATGTATCTTGGTTTACAATGTGGGCCTATGAGATACAATGTTTTCCTCTCCAACATATCCAGACATAAATAGAAACTACATCCGTGACTATTTGATGCTCCTTTGGTCATAAAGGTTATCTTTATGTGAATTAGTTAATCTAAATGGTCTTTTATGTTGTTGTTGTTGTTGTTCCTACTATTTAATGATTCTATTCACAAAGCTACCAGAAACCTCCAAAGATCAAAAGAAAAAAAAAAGTTTCATACTAAAAGAACTACAAAATGAGACACAATGTTTTTAGGCTGTTTCATCATTCTTGTTACGTGCTGTCAAGTAGGTTCCGACTCAGAGCAACGACCCTGTTTAGGGTTTCCAAGGAGCAGCTGGTGAGTTTGAAACTGTGACCTTGTGGTTCAAATCGACCTTGCAGCCAGTGCTTTATCCTACAGTGCCACACCAGTACTCCATTTCCTCAGTACTTAAGTAAATATATGGTTTTGTCAAAGAAAGCAAGTATTTCCTAAAATCATTAATGTTTCTGGTGTGAAAACTTTATTACCTTATTACATAAATAAGATGAATCATGTCCTATTGTGGAAAAGCTGTCTTAACCAACAAACTAGATTTTTATAAATATAAACTGAAAGCAGTAATATTTGAGTGAGGGGGAAAGAATCAGTCATAATATATGTAATCATTAAAAGTTTATTCTACATTGAGTGAAATATGTAATCATGTTTTTAGATCTGTGGTCGGTCTGTCGTTGTTGTTGTTAAGTACCATCGAGTCGATTCCATCCCATAGCGACCCTGTATAGGGTTTCCAGGGAGCAGCTGGTAAGCTTAAACCACCAACTTTGCAGTTCAAACTGCTTTGCAATCTGGCACATTAAGCCACAGCGCCACACCAGGACTCCCTGTGGTCGGTAGTTTAATTTTATTTAGAGGCCAGTATTATGGCATTAAATCATTGGAATCTAAATGGAAATTTTCTTTGCATGGTTGTCAGATTTTTACTCTTAATAGTGTTATTTTGATAGATTAATAATTATGTAGATTGTATATTTTCAGTATTAATACTAGATTCTTTTATAGGATGATAGCAGTGATGATGGATTCCTTGCTGATGATAACTGCAGCTCAGAAATAGGACAGTGGCATTTAAAGCCTACAATCTGTAAACAGTAAGCATTAACTTACTTTCAAGCTATATGATAATTTTTTTTTAAGAATCCACATAGAATAAAATATAACTGAACAATTTTTATTTAAAGAAATACTTGAATAAGAGTCAGAAAGCCAACTCAGTGAGGAAAAGGGGGCATGCTATCTTGAGATCAAGGAGGGGAGTGTGAATAATCGTGTTAGTCTTCCATTTGCTTACTTTTCCAGGTTCTGTGTGCATATACACGCTTACACACAAACTTCCATAGTAGGGATTATGCCTTTGGGGAATATAGTGTTTTGGAGTAGAAAAAGACTATGACCTGTCATTCTAATCAGTAACATGGGAATTGGACTTTAAACTGGTTTCATAGCTACTGTAGGAAGGCTATGGAATGACTCAAGATAGTCCTTTGGGATATGTTCCAGATGGGAGCCCCAAGAGAGAACAGTCCTGTTTGGTTGTCTGAAGTGTTTGTTCTAAGGTCTCTCAAGAAGCTCTGAGCTTCTTAGTTGATGAAGTATTACTCATTTCTTGTTTAAATCTTTTACTTTTTGTACAGATTTGTTGCTAAAACTTCATTAATAAGCTTTGAAAAGAAATTTTAATTTACAAATATATAAATATAAATTTGAAAAATAATAATTTAAAAATAGAGAACAAGACAAAATTAAGGTATCTGCCGTGAATCTTTTTAGGTCTTCTAGAACGTAAGTCTTCAGATATTCCAGGGCTTTTTGCATTATATTAGATTTCATTACTTTATAGTTTACACCATAGCTTTACAGAATTAAAAATTTGAAGGTTAGGTGTTTAGTTGTACTGGTGGGTTCTAAAGTGGAATCTTGACCAAAAAAGAAACACCCCACAAGATTCTAAAGTAATTTTTTTTTATACACTGATTACTTGTTATCTACTATAGGTTTTAATTGAAAATGGATTCTTTTCCTTCTACTTTTTGCACCCATTATTTGGTGATTTGAAGTCTGGAATTGTTCAACATACAGAATTGTTTTCATTTCTATTATAGTTTAAAATATTTTTAGAACCCAACAATAAAAAATAAATTGAAATAAATTTATAAGATGATTACGTTAATATTCTATGATTTAATATTTAATATAGCCATAGATACTTGACTGTTATAAAATTATGTTAAGTATAAGATTTCTCTCCCCTTAAGTTTTACTAAGGCATACAAAAAGAATTCTAAAAATTTTAAATGTTACTGTTAATATTCCATGAATTTTTTTGTGCCTTACAATGTTAACTAAAGTATTAACCATTTGGTCCTTTTTACCCTGCAGACCGTGTATCCTGCTTATGGACTCCCTCAGAGGCCCTTCTCGGACAAATATTATGAAAATTCTCAGAGAGTAAGTTCAGATTCTGACCTAGCACTTTGTGTTGTTTTTTGGTGGGGATGAGAAATTACACAATTTACATATATGTATGTTCTTATTAAATGTGCGTTATTGCAGGTATCTAGAGGTAGAATGGGAAGTTAAAAAAGGAAGTAAAAGAAGTTTTTCCAAAGATATTATGAAAGGCTCTAATCCAAAAGTACCACAGCAAAACAACTTCAGTGATTGTGGTGTGTATGTATTGCAGTATGTAGAAAGCTTTTTTGAGGTGGGTTTCAGTTTTTTCTTCTAATATAGTAAATAATAAAGTATTTGACTCTTAGTGTTTTTAAAAAATACAACAGACAAATGTTGAAGTTATTTGAAAATAATACTTTAAACATTATTCCGGAGAGCAAAAACTCCCAAATAAGAAAAATTTGAAGGCATGTAAGTCTTATATATTTATATTGCATCAAATCCAAGGCTTCTTGACCTCATTCTATCACTGATGTTGTTGTTGTTAAGTGCCCTAAGAGTCTGTTACAACTCATAGCCATCCTGTATAGGGTTTCTGAAGAGTGGCTGGTGATTTTGAACCACTGACCTTTCAGTGCTTATTCTACAGTGCTGTACCATCCATCTATATATATCATCAAGTATCTGTCTCCCCTGCTCCTTCTTTTTCTTTTTGTTAAATTTTTATTGTGAATTGAGTGAAAGTTTACAGGGCAGATCATCAGTTTTACATTCAACAAATCATATACTATCAGTTAACAGTATTTCTCTCTTTATTTTAGCTCTCTTTTTTTCTAACACTCAGGCATACATATTAATTTACACCACCAAAGGGCACATTCTGCAAGTCTCCCTCCTAACCACTAGCTCTCAGTTCCTCTCTTTCCATGAATCTAGAGTCCTCAGCTGCTCCCTCTTTCCATGTTCCCATCTCTGCTTCCATCTCTAGTGTTGCTGCTTCTCTGGAGAAGGTCCCACATTCCTCTTGTGCTCTTCTCCCTTGATGGTCCTAGGGTCCTCTGTTTCTGTATTGTAAGATTAACTACTCCTCTGCTTTTGTTACAAAACTTGTATCTTTACAATTGTGACAGTAGCAGTTAGTCATGATAACAATTATTCACTCTTGAATCAAAAGAATCCTTTCACCAACCCATCTAGACAAGATGAAAACTACACAGTGAGGACTCTTATCTCTCCCCACCCCCTATACTCTTAAACTAAATTCCCTCTTGAAACCTTGTAAGCCAGTCACTTTGTGCCTTTATTGCCCCATCATCCTAGGCAGCCAGTGTGTAAGTTGCCCGTCCCCATCCACCCTGTATACAGAGGGGACAGCACTGACACTTGATATGAAGACTCCTTACTACCTCTCTGTTGGTATTTTGAACTACTACCTCCTTGAATATAAGTCAAGTTCATCTAATTATAGCAATTTACCCTCGTATCCTTTATCAAAAATTGTTTTCTTTTTTATCTTCCCCAGTTACATTCTGATTATCAAGCTATTGAAATCAAATGGGTACTGTCTGCAACTTTGGGTGCTCATGTGTATCTCCCCTCACTTCATACTCTGGATGCTTAACTTTCAGCTCTAGCCTCTGTGACTTTGTACTTGTCCATGGGCTCAGGTGTCTCCAGGTCTCAGCAAACTTTGGACCAACCAGCCCTTCCTCTTCTCTCTCATCTCCAGGTCAACGGGAGTCTATAGAACGTGCTTGAACTCAGCCCATTTCTTCATTGCTGCCTTTCTCCATCTTCCACTTATTAGTAATCCAATGTGGTCGCCAGCAAGTTTGCATGCTGGCTCATGTGTTCCCTTTGAATTTCAGTCTTAGAGGGGAGTTTGTCCTGAAGGGACTTGATTGTTTGCCTTGATGGCTTCCCGGGGTACAACTTGCTGTTCTTATAGTAGCCAATCATACTGCCATTTTTGTTTTCAGTTTTTCTGATGATCTTTCTTTGAAGATGTATCCTCTGTCACTCTAGCTGTTCCAGGCAGATCTACTTGTCTTTCCTAGTGGGAATGTCCCATCTCAGATGGTTCTGGATGGGGCTCAGGATTCCACTAAGGTCCTATATACTGCAAAAGCTTCGCAAGAGGCCCATTTCACTGGGCAAGTTATAGAACCCCTTTTAGGTATTCCAATCAGTTACAGGCTGAAGAAGTGCTTACAAGCTGCCTCCCCTGGCTCTTAATAAATCTTTCCCTTGATTCAGACTGCCTATTTTATCCCCTTCACAGGTAAATTTCTTTAGAGATACTTATATCCACTGTATCCATTTCCCCAACTCCTCTTTACTTCTCATATCTCTATAATCTGTATTCACTCTCAGCTTTACAATAAAATTGTTCTTGACCTCCCAAAACCATTTTTTCTTATTGACCAAAACATAAGTCTTCATGTGTTATCTTCCTGTTTTTACAACAAAAACATCATGTAGTAGCTTTTCTTGGGTTAAAGACTAAAATCTTTCACATGGTCTATAGTTATCTATATGATCTGACTCCTGCCTAAGTTTCTAGCCTCATTACTTTTTTTCTTTCATTCTGTATACTAACCATGTGAATGTTGTTCAGTTTCTCTTACTGTTTTTTCCTTGTCTCATCTTGTTACATGCTTCCTTACCTGTTGCTTCTATCCTTCTTTGGTTGATTAAATCCTATTCACCTAAGGTCTCAGCTTAAACATCGTTTTCTTTAGGAAGGATGTTCTCAGATATACAAGGATGCTTCAGAAAATGCACGGGAAACTGGAATGAAAAGAATGTAATTTTTCCACAAATTTTTTGAAGCACCCTTATATACTTTATTAGTACTGTGCACTGCCTCCTGATAATACTTACCATGTTCATTGTTTTATTTGTTGAATTATCTGTCAAGACTGTAATTGGCAAACCTTTTCTATATAAAAATTTTAGGCTTAGGGGTCATATTGCTCAGTTCTGCTGTCCTGTGTGAAAGCAACCAAAGATAATAAGTAATGTATGCGTGGGGCTGGATTTGACCTTTAGGCCATAGTTTCTGACCCCTGATCTAAACCAGAAACTGTCTTATTTCCAGTGCCTGGCATGTTATATGCAATGAGTAAATAAATATTGAATGAGTGATTCATCTTTTTTTTTTTCTTTGTCTTTTTTAACTTTGGAATATTTTTGTGATTGAAGCTAATGTACATGTATTTTTCTTTTTTTTTTTTTTTTAGAATCCAGTTGTAAATTTTGAACTACCTATGAATTTGGTAAACTGGTTTCCTCCCCCAAGAATGAGAACAAAAAGAGAAGAAATTCGAAACATAATTCTGAAGTTACAGGAAGATCAGTGCAAAGTGAAAAAGAAGCATAAGGATACTTTCTCAATAGGAACATCTTTAGGTGAAAGAACAGAACAGTATGTCAGCAGTGTCCCAGATTGACCATTTTGTTGCCTTCAAAAACTGAATGACTTTCACCTTTGACTGTAGACCGTAAAGAAGTGTCCACTGCTCAGAGAGACTTTGAAATGTTAATGCTTGTATAAATGTCATATAATTTTCAATGGAGTATGTATTAAGTAAATGTCTGTAAATATGTTAATGAGGCCAAGTTTTTCAGCATTAATAATTTGTTTTCCACTTGTTAGGAAGCTTTTGTTATGTATTTTCTGTTAATAGTACTTAAAACTGCATCTTCTAAACATAAAAATAAAAAGAAAATATTTATAGGCGGAAATGGTTAACTTGATATTCTTTAGTAAACTTGTATCAAATTCCTCAGTCGGTGTGATATATTTCATAGGAATATTTACGTATCTGTGGTATTCTTTTGACCTTTTACATTTGTTTTGAACTATGAAAATAAAATTAATTCTGAGGCATTTTGAACTAAAACGAAAGACATGTTCATATGCTTGTATAGCAGAAAAAGTAGCATCTTTCAAATTCATACAGTCCTGTGTGCTCAGAGAACCCAAGAAATGTTAATAAATATTTATAATTTCAAACTGTTATTTATGAAGAAGCAGTATTAAGAACAATTCAAATTAAAGTTACTTTGAAATATATGACTAAATAGTAACAAAATATACTTTATCATACATTATTGTAAAATGCATTTCTGGAGACATCAGAGACATTAGAATTATTTTGGTTAAGTGCAACTTAAATCTCAAATATCCCGTATTACCTTTCTATATTATAGCTTAAAGTATGCAACAACCTGTGTGATACTGATAAGCATTTTTAATCCGAGTAAACAGATTTAAATAGGAATTTGCTATTTTTTGTAATAGCTTTTGCTATTTTTCCATTGCTCATTTTGTCTTGTTATTTTGATAAACAAAATATCAGACTTTTTGCTTGAGTTTTCCAATGTAAATTATTTTTAAATGTAAAAGTATTGATGAGATTTTCAGTTCATATAGGGACCTTGCCATATACCTGCTATTATTTCTCAAGTGAAATGTTATATATTTCTTTCTAATTGCCTTTAAAACTTGAAATATATATTTTAAAAAGTTTTTTTGTTGTTAAGCAGTATTTAAATGCATATATAACAAAAATAGAGACTAAAATAATTATCATCCGCAATTATTTTTGTCCATCTCTGGCATTGCAACCAAAATTTTATGCTCTGTTCTTGAATTTAATTATATCCATGAGCGTGGGGTTTTTTGCTTTATGTTTTTGTTTTTGAGGAAGGGTGTTGTTAACCACCAAAAAAGAAGTCTAGTGAGACAAACTTTTGAAATTAGAGTCTATAAGAGAAATGTTAAAATACAAATTTAAGTAAAGTGTCATTATTAGAGTATGAAATATAAATTTGTTACTTTGAACTACTTTAACATTTTTTTATTCCTGATTACTGTTTTTAAGAATACCCTAGAGCTAGTTGATCAGATATGGAAAAGCAAGTTTTAGTATTTACTGAATATGGCAAAATAACTTTTGCTTTCTAATGAAGCTAAGAAAAAAAAACATTGTTTTAAAAACCTAAATTCAGTAAACAAAATTTTTTAAAAATATATTTTTTTAAATGTCTTGCATCTTGTCAGAATTTGAAAGTACTGGGGGGAAAAAACTTTAAAATTTCTATTTGGTTTTAATTTCTAATGGTTATATTTTGAGCTTACATCACCTGATAAGATAAAAATATAACTTGTTCATTGGGTCAGTTTAAGGTGATGATATTTTTAACATGAAAAATGCATATGGATGCATGCCGACTTTATAGGGATAGAATACCCAACTATTTTATAACATTGCACCCATTCAATGTGAAATTCTATTTTCTTTAAAGTGTACTAATGAATTCATAATATATATTGAAATTTTTAGAGACTCTGCCAGGTTTAACTCCAAAAGTAGAGACTGTTTCTTGTGTAAATGCACAATCATTTGATAATTATGTTCTCTGGTACTTCTATACATAGTTTAAAGTAGATAAAAAACCTTTTAAAATGTGTTACTGGTACTTAGAAGTTGTGAAACAAAGTCTTCAGGGTTGTTACTAGACACTGAAACTGCATGTGAGTATCTGGTGTCTTAACTAATTAGACAGATCTGTTGTATTGGCTTTCTCGTTGGATAGAATATCAGTTAATAATTTTTAGAAAGAGTTTTACATTACTTGCCATAAAATATGTATGCCTCTCAGCTCTTGGTGGTTTAGGAGCAAAGGTGGTGTTTCATTAGTTCTTTCCCTTTGATATTGCTGTACCTGTTTTAAAGGCAGTAGAAAACACAATTTCAAGTCACACAAATCTAAAACAGTTACAATAGTAACCTGTTCTTCAATTCATAGTCAATTAAATTTTGGAGGTTTTATTTAATAGAATGTATTGATTATGAAAACTACATCTTGCTTTCCATCACCAAAATGAATTCACTATTTGTTTTCTTTAAAAAAAATAATATATGAAAACTAAGTTACAATAGTAAAAATAATAGTTTAATTTGCTAAAAATCAAATATTGTACTTAAAAACTCATTGAAAAGAAATAAATAATATATTTTAATAAATCATAAATACCATAAGAGTTGATGGATTAAAGGTACTAGAATATAAAGCTGGACAAGAATAACTTTGTG